AAATAAATAATGGACTCCGAATGAGACAAACAATTTATGCTTCTCTTCTCCATTCAAATCAATGGTGTCCAATCTATATCTGTGTCCTTGGGATGGTGTGGTTTGAAGAGCTGTGGGTGTGGGGAGGGGGGGGGCAGCAAACTGCTGACTCTCTTCTGCGGCGTGCGGCTGGTCACACCAGGGAGCTGGCAACCTGCTTTTAATAAGGTGGTCAAGGTCCAACGCGCAAAGCCAATACAGGGACTCCGGATACAGGGGTCAGGAGACTGTCGGCCATTGTCCTCCTCTCGCTAATGCCCTCCTCTTTCATTTATGTTAAATGCTCAGGTACGCAATCTTGTCCATTCGTCACATTTTTTTTTCTTCCAACCCCCCCCACCTTTACTCGTCTCCATCCACCTTGTTCCTCCTCTGCTTACGCCGGCCCATTCGCGCGCCCGCCCGCCGCCTGGCCGGTGAAATAAAAGAGCCCATTGTACGGCGGGCGCGCAGAGGTCGCCTCGGCCCGGCTTCTCATTCCACCTCTGGAGTGGATTACTAAATGGAAATGGCCGCGGGGTTCACGGGTCCCCCCCCCTAATCAGCGCACGACTCGCTCTCCTGGTCTCTCTGGCGGTTTCAAACCATCTTTCTTTCTGAAGGGGCCGAACTCTCGGCAAGTCCCAGAGACCCCCGATACGCAGCTCGCCAGCCTCCGGTTGTTTGAATCCACACGCTGCGGTTGTATCAACATTAGAATCACTCTCCTCCACTGCAGAGCACAGTATCTTACAAAGGTTTACTACACCCAAGTTGGGAGAAGAGATTTATTTGGAAATGAATAAAAGCAAAGTAGCTTTTAGTCACTATATAGACCGGAGCTTCAAGTGTTGGATCCGCCCCATGATGCAACGTAACAGTGTCTACAATTCCGACGTTCCTTGCGGTCAGGGTAGCTGTAATGAAATGACATGGCTAATTGTGCGGGACTTTAGCGGTTTATAGAAAGATTGCCCTGTTTAAAAAGTTGACATTAATACAGAAGAAATATTAAAAAGGAATTTACAAATCAAGTGTGCGGGATGTCTGATATTTCTCCTCAAGTGTTGTACCCTGAGGCTAGCGGCTCAAGGCTAAATTAGCCGCTACTAGCTTACCACTAGCTTACCCCGCAAACCTGCGCTATCGATGAGAACGTGAGCAATGGGACGGGACGGGACGGGACCCCCCCCCCCCCCTTTTGTTAACAACCTTCAAAACGGATAATAAAATATTTCTTCCACCTTAAACTCTCCACGGTGAGTCGGGGGAACGTGGTTCCTTCCAATCACTTCCTGTTTCTCTGCGTGTCCTTAGCTCAGGCCGACTCGATCAATGGAAGCCATCAAACAATCAAAGTATTTGTGGATATATGCCTGTGATGCACAGGTCACCACCCAAACAAGTGTCATCGCCTCCATCTGGCTGCACTCACATAATAACAATCTCAACATACGAAGACGGCCTTATTCTTCCACAATGCACTTTCCCTTCTTTAATAGGCCACCCTCCCTCGACCGGGAGAGGTGGTGGTGTGGGGGATTGGGGGGGGGGGGGGGTGTGATTGAGTTTTAAAGAGTCACTCCCAGATGAATGCACTTGCAGAGGCTTTTAAGTAGATAAAAGTTGGGCTGGTTGGAATATACACTCTACCGCCGCGTCAGGCTAAAAGGGTCCATGTGTCGTAAATATCACCTGAGACATTAATAGAATGGAGATTACGGCCCAGAGTGCGTGGATCAGCGTAAAAAAGAGGCAGCCAGCCGTTGGGCAGCTTCATGCGGCGAGCTATTTATAGCTTGGGAAATGGACGGCTCCATTAATATAAGGCTTACCCTTTTCTGGAAATGTAAATCACCACGGCCGCGTTACACAGCCGCGGCATGTCAGAGTTAACGGTACGGCCCCTCTGATTTACACGCGGTCCCCGGGATGAAGCAAAGGTGCAACATGGCTTCATTGAAGCCAACGTGTTATCTTAGGAGCTTCTTCTCTCTGCTTCTGGACGACGCGTTAAAGCCCGTCGTTGATCTGCTCCTTTCATTCCCACCCTTGATGTTTCTGTAGAGGTGGGAGGGGGGGGGGGGATCAGATCGCAATGGACACTTCCACCAGGCCGAAGGCTGATCTATAACCTCCGCATGTTTCCAACGGATGCCCAACATGAAAAACTCACAGGCTCTGGGTTTAATTGAGAGGCATCTCACGTAGAATCAGAGGGCTCGTGTCTGCTCTTTTGAAATAACTCGTCATTTTCTCTCCCTTTCCCGAGCATGTCAGCCGTCTCACCCTACTCCCCCCCCACCCGCCCACTCCGTCTGCGCGAGCACTGCATCCGGCTCACCCACTCTGCTGCTGATGCTGCGCACATCTGCATGCCGGAGCCGCATTGCCAAATTTGCAACTATATTCAAATTAAGTGAATGTACATGCTATGGAAAAAATAAATTAAAAATGATGTGTGTATGCGCAGAGTTTTAAACTTTTTTACTACCTCTGGCAGGAGTTAATCAATTAGCTGCCTCTTTCAAAGTTTGAATGATTTAGTGCATCACAGTAAATTTGGTGGATGATACGTTATTGCAGCCGTATAAACTGGCACTGCAGTTTCAATGCAGATTGATGGGAAAAGTCTGCAGGGATTATTAGCTCATGATTACAATGTGACTTTTTTTTTATGGTTTGCCATTTTTATTTTACGGCCTACACATCAGTCACACAATTGCAACAGACTGAAAGTAGCGAGAGAGGTCGACCTGCATATGAAGTGGCTTTCGTATTAAGCCATTGACAACGAGACAATATATATTCTGCACAAGCCGTTTTTTAATGAAGGTGAAGAAGGTAATGCATGAATAATAAAAGAAATGTGTTTTTTGTGATGTCAAGTGTATGTGATGTATTAAGAATAATCAGGACTATAATTATTATTATACCATTTTCAATAGGATTGATTAATTAGGCCTCTGAATTTTAATGTAACAGCTGCTACTTTATAAACTATTGGTTGGTTAAATCTTGAGAAATGCATATTTTACATGACGAACCCCAGTGGCCAGATAACATAGGTGCACCTGTTAAAATCTTTATTTCTAATTTCAAGATCTAACATCTAACATATCTCAATATAGCAAATATTCCATTCCAAGTAAAATGCTCTTTTTAAAAATGAAAATCTGCGTATCAATCAGGGCTACTTACCAAAGGTAGTTGCGGTCTGGACGCTCCCCTGGAATCCCTCCAACTCGGACGGAGACGCTGTGAATCCTCGGAGAATTCAGGTAACCAGAGGCAAAGTTTAACAACTGCTTAAGTATGTTAAACTCTGGTTTTTGAGGGGAATTTGTTTGTTGTGACGCTTTAGTTCCGAGCGTCGAGGTGGTCGACGGCGTTGCAGAGCTCCGCGCTGACCTCTAGTGCACCATGCGGTGACCTTGGCACACTCGGGGTCTCAGAGGGACGGCCGAAAGCGCAGGGTTGGACGGACGCAGAAGGACGAGAAAGGCAAACGCACCCACAGATGGCAGGTCCGGGGGGGGGAAAAAAACCCGCAGCGGACGTCGACGCCAGTGGATGTAAATACAGGAGGGAATTTCAAAGCAATTATTACCTTGACCATTCAAGTGAGTTATGAGATTTCTTTTTGAGGCACAAACATATTAGCACAGCGAGAGTTCACAGCGTACGGCGTGTGTCTGCTGCGGGTGGAAGCGAGGCGGCGTGGAGTGAAATTGATTCTCAAAAGGCCAATTAAGTAGGAGCGTATATTCATTTTCACTAGTGCAATGAACTTAGAGCTAATATGGGCGAAGGGGGAGAAAACACATATTTGCACACAGCAAACAAACCCCTAATAAGAAATGGTCCGACCATGAATGCATAAATGTGGCAGCTCCATGATTGGAATATAAGGACGTGAAACAAAGGACAAGCAGCTGGTGTGTGAGGCATAATGAAAATAAAATGTTAATATGAATTTTTCATGGAGGAACCTGTGTGACAATTGCCTACGTGTGCATTTCACGGCCGCTATACATTATTCAGCAAAGGCGTGTGCCTTCAAATGGGGAGTTTATTCTCACATTTCACTCGAGAAAATGTGGGATTTAATGAAATCTATGAATAAAATGGTAGAATTATGTATAGATAAGTCAAAATTGGAAAAGGGGTTTCTTTTGTGTTTAAATCCACAACTGGGCTACATTTACTCGACATGCTTCCAGGACTATTACTTCTATTAAATCTTGCAGACACGGAACACAACAAATGAAATCAAATAGACTATAAAACAGATTTACCCGTTAAAAAACGGCCAAATGAACGTACTATACAAAACTCAGAGACCAGAATGCAAAATTAGAATATAAACTCTTTGCAAGTGAGGAAAAAAAAAGTTCCAATCAAGATGAACAATAAGCCTGAAAGCAATGAGGGTAATCATCATTTAACACTTATGCCTTCATTCTTATTCTACCTTGATCGCTTCACTTCATTGGGTATTTGGTCTGTACCCAACGGTAATTATCTGATGGATCCAGCTTTATTTCCAGTTTCATTGCTGTGCAAAAATACCGAAAGGGGCAATTTTTCTGAAACCAATTTCCTGTGTGTATCACTCTTTCTGATACACAATCGCACACGGACACCTCGCCCATCTCCATTGTTCCCGCCATCTGAATTTCTGCGGAAACTGCGGGGAAAAAAAGAAGCTTTTTTATTAGCCGTAGCTGTTGGCAATGGAAGAAAGAAATACTGAGCACAGTAATTTTCCTCAGACAATCAGCAGGATCATCCTTCATCAACAAGGTCGGTGGTTCAATTCCTACTAACGGCGAGACACTGAGCCGCTCCAAAAGCTGAGGTCACCTTCTGTGTAGGTCCCTGTATGTATTTATATGTGTATGTATTTATGGTATGAGATTGTCTGGTAGAAAAAAACATGGTGGGCCAAGTTTCTTTCTAGTGATTATAATAAGCCTACATTCATTTGCATTACTTTTTTTTTTATTGGTGCTTAAAAACAATTGTAAGCAGCAATACAACTAATTGTTACAGAGAAAGAAAGGTAGTTAACAGTTTAAAAAAACAAACCCCAAAATACATTATCACAAATAAATAATACTTGCTAGATTGCCCACCACTAATAGCGAATCTGAAACGCATATTAGCCTCCGTTAACGGCAAAGTGGCCCGAAACCTACACATCTTTATTGAAACTTGATATGCCTATTTGGGAATAAAACATCAAGTATTGTAAATTGTGGAAATGGAGGACCACGTCACTTTTCATTTTTGAATACTGAATGCTATTTATAGCTTTTGCACGGCAAAACACTGCTTACATCCAGATGAAGGCTGTTTATTCCAGATGTAGTCTCCTTAAAAATACAATACCGGAGTATTTCCAGAATTTCCTGCGATTTTCACAGTGGAACGAACTCTCGGTAGCCTTCCTCGGGTTTTTAAATCACGCTTTGTAGTGCTTGGGTCAGCGTGTCCGGCCGTCTGCATGACCTCCAAAGTTTCATCATCCCCTTCGTGCATCGACGTCCCTCACACACAAGTTCAGAGGGCAGCCGGGTCCTCGTGCATTCACTTTGGTCTCCGTACCCTCCCGTCCGTCCGCCCGTCCGTCCGTCCTCGGCGCCCGTCCTCTTCCCTTTGCCGGCCTCTTGTCAATCGTTGCTCTTGGCGCCGCGACTGGTCTTGCTCAGCACCGAGCTGAGTTCGTTCATCAGATTAGGAGGCATCAAGACCTCCCCGCCCTGGAGAGGTCTCCTGCCGAGGGTCCTGCAGCCACTCTGAGCGGGGAGGGCCAAAGCCGGGGGCTTGGTGAGTCTGGACGGGGGCGCGGGCTGTTGAGGCCCGCCGGAGTCCACCGAGCTTCTTCGCTGCGGCACCTGCGGGGCCTTGAGCAAGCCGGCCGGGGGGTTTGCCCCGCGGGGCACGACGGCGTCCCTGGTCGGCGTCGGCCAGCCGTCGGCGGGAGAGATTCTCTCGTCTGTCGGCTGCAGGGGGGGGAGGGGACAGATTTAAAGTGAGTCGAGCATTTTGTCACGTGTTCGTGCTGCGGATATTGTCACGGATCTCGCACCTGTTTGCTGGTTCCGGGGACGCGGGGGATCGTCTGGCCTCCGGCCGGCGCTCCCCCCCTGAAGGATTTGGGACGCGGGGCCTTTGGGCTGAGGTTGGAGCCGTGCTGGAAGACACAGAACGTGTGAACCGTAATCCGCTGTGCCCACCGAAGACAGCTCGCGGTGAGTCATTTATTTCCCCTTTGCGGCGCCGGGCGGCACCGCGGCAGGACGGGTGGGCTAAACTTCCTCTTTTACTGACTTCTCCTCTCACATCGCTGGTCAGCCCTAAAACCTTTAGAACCGTCTCGCTCATGTATTTCAGGACCTGTCCTTGGACCTCAACAACCTCACCGCCACAGGCCGAATCCCCCCTTCCGTCCAAACGAGGTCCTTCATTCGCCAGTTGCTATGGAAACTGTCTGGAGCACAATGCTCGCTAGCAGGTAAGAGAAAAGGAAATCCAGAAGGAGAGAAGTGCTCTCATTCTACTTTCTCTCTCTCTCTCTCTCTGCCCTTCCCACAAGTCGTGCGTCCTTCCCACCAGCCCTTGTGATGGGAGCTGTCAATCCCGCTGTTTAGCGGATTTGGGAGGCGAATCCTAATATTTTCAGCCGGCTCCAGTCTGCTATGGATTTGGTCGCGGCAAAGCTAAGAGCTTCTGCAGAGAGCAGAGAAAAGTCACTGAGCCGGCTGAAATAAACACCGCCGAAACACTTAGAAACAACAGACGAAAGTCGGCCTCCTCCCCGGATCAATCCCTCCCTCGCCGACGGCGACGTTGCCCTTTTTACTTCGCCGACCCAAACAGGCACTAAAAGGCTTTTCCCTGTAAGCGCCCGTGATAGACAACACCGTGCCGCAGACACGTTTCCCACAAGGGAAGCCGATACCGAGTCAACGCGGCGGGCATTCTGTGAAGGATCAGCCCGATGTTGAGGAGATATAATATATATATATATAAATATTTTGTATAATGAGCAAACAAGATGCTTGTTTTCACGCCGCAGCTGGGAAAGGAAGAGGCGAGAGTGTGAAAAGGAATGCAAAGATATGAGCGTTGTGTTATTTCAACGCTCAGCCGGATCTCGGCGCTGAAGCAGCACAATGGTGCTGTTGCAGCCGCCTTGACCTTATTCCCACAGCTTTTCCGCATGAAATGGTCCGTGTTGGTGCTGAGTGACCCCGGAGAACGCCGCCGTGTATCTGTCCCGTCTGACTACCGGAGAAAGAAAAACACAGCTGCTGCGGTGAGCGTCAGCTTACCGTCATCCTGACCACGTCGCTCACCCAGGCGACCTGCGCCTCCCTCGTCTCGCAGCAGAAGTGCCTGAGGAGGGAAAAGCTCAGTTACCAGTCGCTCGGTGTGGGGAGGGGGGGAGGAGGAGGGCCGCTGACACGGCGACCAACCTTTAAACTTTGCCTTTAATTAGAGCATGTCTATAATGAACTCACGTCACCATAACGGCGATTAGTCCGTTAGTCAGTTAGCCGTTAGTCAATTTCTTCAAATTCACAAGGCATCCATTAACAGTTTGCAAGGTAGAAACCACCTTTGTGTGTCATGTGATCATCGTTATGTCCAACAGCACCGACGCTTAATCCACCTGGAAGTTTAGTGCTTTAAAGGAAACTTCTTGAGCCTTTCTAAGGGGATGCAAAGGGTGAAAGTCAAACTCATCAATTATTGAATTAGGAGTCCTTCTGCACGCAACTCACCATTGTTGTTTGTCGGTGTGGACTGTGAAGCCCCAGCTGTTGAACAGAAAGGACACGGGTCACATTGTGCGTCTGCAGACCGGAGGAGAAACGGCGCTCCGTCTCCGAGGCGGAGGTTTAAAAACATGTTTTTTTCCGTGAAAAGCAATCTGGTGAAAAGTTGTCGGGAAACTGTTGGGAGGCTCAGTTCAGAACCTCTTAATTAAAATGCAAAGAGTTTACTTCAAATGCAGGATGCTGCACAACGGAATTAATTAAATCAGTCAGCGGAGCTCCAGCCCACATGTTTATGCAAAGTGTGCCGCACACTGTGAGCCTTAAACTACGACGTCTCAGGCATCAGATGTGCACAAGATAACAAATCTCCAAAGTCTGCACATTTGATGCTCACGTGTGAATTTGAGGCCCGGCGCCGGAAACCAAATACAGGAAACGCACACAAGCCTTACGTCTGCATGCATGTCGACTTGACCCCCCCCCCCCTCCGAATAAGGAGGAGGAGAAGGAGCAAAGCGAAGAGAGAGAGAGAGGGGAGGAGGGAGAGGAGGGGGGGCTGCAGGCCTCGTATCATCCTCTCCCTCTCTTCATCTCCCACTCTCGCTCCCTTATCCACTTCCCCTACCCTGAAGGACGGCGTAATGCAGACAATCGCTTGCCGGACTCATTTTTCACGCTTCCCCGGACTCCGAAAATTGCGACGCGGGCTGGAAAATTATGAGGAATTAGAGTTGGTTAACGTGAAATATAAGGAGTCGCCTCCTCCAAACTTTCCTCCGCGTTTGGCCAACGAGAAAAGTGCCGAGGCTTTTGCTGTGTCGTAAATTATAATAATGGAAGATCATTAAAATGAAACAGCAGCGGGGATGTTTCCTGCTCGCGGGAAGATTTGTATTTGTTAAAATGCAATTACATTTAATCAATTTCATTACGGTGAAAAATAGGATGGGGGGGGGGGATCTCCTGGCGACGCTGACCTTTGAGGGAAGAGAAAAGGGCAATGCATCTTTGGGGAGAAGTTGTTTACACGCAGACGTGGCGCTAAAAAATCACCCGTTCGTCTTAATAACACGAGTCCGAACGTGCAGCAGGTGTTGCTTTTTGGATCTAGTAGGTCACGTTTGATCGTCACACAGACACACAACCGGGGGGGGGGGGAACCACATCTCCACAGTATCTGTATGACAGTGACAAGAAAATGAAATCGCAACGAATGAACGAGGGCTCGTGAACTGCACTTTAAATAAAGAGTTTAAAAAGCAAGCTGTGTGACTGCATGTTCACCTGTGCCTTACCTGAGCTGTCAATCATGTAGCCTTTTGCATTTCAGATGCGTGGGTTATTTTTTTTTAAGCTATTTACAGGAGGGATCTTGTCAAAGCACAAACAAACACTTTGGCGACTCCTTTGCATAATATTACAATAATCCATTTGAATGCTGACCTTGCAAACGATAGGTTGATATATAAAAAATAAAAATAAAAGAACTGTCCACTTATCAGCGTTTTCTAAAGCTTTCAGCAAATTCTAGTGAACATACTCCTTCCATAGACAATCATTAGGTTTTTTCTTTATAGCACTGGAGGAGACGTTTTAAATTAAGTCGACAACTGCAACGTTCACCTGTTTCTTGCGTTACGTTACCCGATCACGGGTGGATTTAGCAACAAACAGTAGAGATGTATTATGCATGTGAGTGCAGTTTACCTGGTTGGAGGTTTGAGCTTTTTCCTAAGGCCAAAATAGCATTTCACAGAGCTCAGTTGGATGACTTTCTCCGCTTTAGTACCCTGCAAAGAAGAGAAGAAATTAACGAGCGAGAAGAATTAACACGATAAACTAACACAACTAAAGAGGCTCCTCGCGCACAGCTTGGCTGTGCTGGTGAACCACAGGCAGGGAAAACTGGTCAAAACTCCAGCACATGTTAAGTTACAGACTCCACACACACACACACACACACACACACACACACACACACACACACACACAGGTGAGAAGACAATTAGAAAACAAGAGTTTTCTTAAAACATCAATCATCTTAATGCGACACGGAAAGAAACCCTGATTGCGCTTCGTCCCCCCTCAGAACGTCCACTATTAAGCATATTGGTTGTCAGACGTTTGGTATGAAACTACTTGGAGCCGGATCTCCAAGTATTCACTTTTCTTTTTCGTCGCTTTTAACACAAATTCATTTTCAGCATAAGCTACGTTTCTCTTGGCCATGCAGACTCAATATATCCCTTCCTTTGACAACGAGGGTAATTCTTCATCGATATGAATCTAGGCCGATAAGTTTCCTGGTACCGTATCGCGAGTGTGTTACGTCCTCGACACCATCTGGTAACACTCACGGGGCCTTATGCTGCTCGGTTGCGTAACGTCATGTTCCGTATCTTCTATTCCATTTATCTCCGGTTGCTACTGGCTGTTATTGTTTAGTTGTTGCCGTGGTGGCGAGCGTGCCCATCGAAACCAAACATGTGGGAGCTAAACGCCGAAAGGTGCTTAGCTCTTTCATGATTTTAAATGTAATTTGTCCATAAAAGGAGTCTAAATGCGTATCGTGGTGTGTGTGTGTGTGTGTGTGTGTGTGTGTGCGCGCTGGGACCTTAAGCGCCTCCGGTTTACCACGTTTTAGTTGCTTCGCACACCAAAGTAGAATAAATGCCAGCAAACAATCGGCGCAGCATCGAAACGCGACAATCGATGTGAATCATTACCGGCGGATCTCTTCTCCCCGGCAACGAAGAACAAAGGAGGGTGAGAACAAAGCCTCAACAGAATCAAAAGTTTTGCCTTTGACACCTACACTCCCCCCCCCCTCCCCCAGTCCAACATAATGTGCGCTAAATACTGAGCCGGCAATAATTGCAGGGGGCAAAGAATATCAATTCATTTAAAGAAACACCTCTAATTTCCTCAGCGTTTACACAGCAATTAGCCACATCCTTGTGCAACTGGATATTTGGAAGAGATTTCACTGAAAGTACCCCCCCCCCCCCTCACACACACACACACACACACACATACACACACACACACACCCTCACGCCATTTCCCTGAATCACTGCACCTCCACCAATTATTTCCACTTCATCACACTCTTAAGAATCCAAAGGCCTGCAGGGGCTCTGTGAGGAGAGAGAGAGGGGGGCGGGGGGGGGCTGGGGGGGGGTTCCCCGCCATCAGCGCGTCCGATTCTCCCTCTGCGCTCGGGGAAAGAGGTGGAGCTCGGGGGGTTCTGACCCATTGGAGTTCTCCGAAGGCAGTTCGATGACCCTTTTCCAATAAGCCCCGCCCCCTCCGGTGACGCAAAGCCGAAGTAAAAGCGCCGCTTACTTTGATGTCTCTGTAGAGCAGCAGCTTGTCGGGCCGCAGTACAACGTATTTATCCTGAAACTTGTGGCCCGACAGCAGCTTGGAGGATCCGTCGCTGAACTTCAGATAGTCTCCTTTCATCAAGCGTCCTGGGTCTGCGGCGAGAAGCCAACTCAGGTTAACGAAGACAAGAAAACAAGACGACTCTCCGGCTCCTCAACCGTTTCTACCCCACTTGATTGGATAACAAATGATGACCTTGTACTTTAAGTAACCTTTATGCTACAAAGCCATACTTGTACTAATCTAAAAAAAGAGACTGCGTTGATGTTCTTTACCTTTGTCATCGCACACTGCCTTGAACCAACTAAACTTCTTTATGACAAGAAAAGCAGACTGAGGGAAATCCAGCGTGCTCCACTCCAGGACCTGCTCGAGGATTCTCTCATTTGGGTGCAACGGCCGCTCTGTTGAAAACAAAAAGAAAGACGCCCCAGGTGAGAAGAGGGGGGGACACTAAGGGTAAGAGCAGGTGGGGAATGATAGCGGCCAAAATAAAAGAATATTTCTGAATTAATGAATTACAAATGCATGAAAAGAAAATCCAAGGTCTCATATCATTAAAGCGAATTATGTTGTTTATTATCTCCAGCGTATCGGGAGCTGATTAGGAAACACGTTCATGTGCAAAATAGACCTATTATCTCTTCCTAATTGGTGAGCAGGGTGCATGCTATCGGCCCGGAAATAAAATAGAAGCAGATTTGTGCAACAGCACCCTTGCTCTGATCTCCACACCCTCACTTTTCATAACCGAAGGAGGTAAAAAGAGCCACGGCGGCATAACTTCTTCATAACGGTGGGCTTATCTTCTCTGCAGACTCAGGCCATGGAATTAGTTCCTCATCTCCCATCAAATATTAGCTCCGCCCCCCTCCTCCCCCCTTTCAGCCCATTGTGTCTGATAACTCTGTTTGTCTGTGCCCGGCAAAAAAGGGAAAAGATGAAGATTCTTTTCGAGTTCAAAGACCCCTGTGAAGCCTCTGATCGCGAGGTCCTTGGACGCGAAGACGAAAAGAAAGGGGGGTAAGATGGGTGGGTAAGAGCACCGCTACTCCAATCACGTCGACGCCACCGGAGACGGGAAGCGGACGCGTCGCTGTGAAACGGGTCTCACGCCGGATGACCCGCTTTCACTAATTAGGATAAAAAGTGCTGTGATGTTTCAGTATTAGTTGCCTATTAAATACGTGTGTTGTTGTGTGTTAGAGAGAAAGCAGTAGGTGGAAAAGTTTCACTACTTTGACAGTTACAATTAACCGAAAATAAGCAACTTCAGAACCTGTAACTAGTTATTATGCTGACAATGCATCTGGATTCTTGGTAAAATGATCAAGGAGGCACCTGTGCAATCTCAAAGCCTTACTGTGTGATTATTAATCTTTAGAAAGGCAAAACTTATTAATGTTTGAGCTGCAATTAAATTTTATGAATATTTCAATAATCAAAAGGAGAGAAAAGGAAAATCATTTTTGTTGAAATGTCCCCAAATGCTCTTTATCTCTGTCGTTGCCATCATGTTATTATTTCCATTCTCACCCAGACTTTGAATGTTGCAGATAATCACAAACTATTGTGTGAGGGGGGCGGGGGGGGGGGGGGGGCGCTATCTCACATGGAAATCCATCCTACCCAACTCTCCGTTCTCGATGACTTCGAACGTTGTCCAGGACTCACTGGTGGCGAAGCCGGCGTTCCTCCCCGTCAGCGCCGCCTCGGCGAGCTCCGCGGATCGCATGCCGGGAGACACCTACGGGAAAAACACAACAGGCAGGTCAACGCGCACCGGGGGGGGGCGACCACGGAACGAGGTGCAGGGAGGAGGAGAGGTAGGGGGGGAGCAAAAGCCCGTCCTGCTGAGGTCAGAAGGCATTTGGGCCTTCGGCTGCCCCTCGCTACTTACAGCCGAACAGGACTGACCCTCCTTAGCCCCCCCCACCCCTCGACGACCCCCCCCCCCCCTCTGGTCCCTGTTCGGCCCCAATAGCCGAAACGCAATTACTCACACAATTAAATCGGACGTTTGTTTGATTAGTTCGTTTTTTGATTTATTTCTGGGACGTTTAATCCCATCAGGTTAAACCACCGATGTGTCGACACAATCCCCCCCCCCCCCCCTCCAGTCCGGCCCCACCCTTGGGCAGCGTGCCTCCATGTCCCCCAGGCCGTCTTAAGGGGACCCGTGGGGACCGGCGGGACATACACATAAAGCTGCATGTCAGCTGAAAGTACACACACACACACACACACACACTGTACTGGTGTACCTTGATTAAACAGCAGTTCTCCGGCTTTTTCTTTTCCAGGTAGACCTCAAAGATCAGGTCCCCGGCTGGAGAGAACTGGGGGACGGGGAGAGAAAACAGAGTGAGACAGAGGGATCAGTTGAATTACAAAAACAATGCGGCAGGATTAATTGGCTCTCCTTCTAAATTCACACTGCGATGCGGCATGAATGTAAAACGGAGCGAAGTCAGGGACACGGCTCGTGGACTTTGAGGGGGAAAAGGCAAAGGTCGTTTTTTCGGGCGCCGGAGGCAAACTAAATCCCCGCAGCTTTGATAGAAATACAAAAAAAACACCTGGCGAAATAAAGAGGACATTTGTGCGAGCGGACCGGAGACGGCTGAAGCAGCGGGTGCACGTTTCAGCCACACTGAAACCGAAGCGCTTATTTACTTATTTAAACTTATTTACCTCGTTACAAAAACGCCAAACCAGGCGTCAGTTGTCTGATTTCGCCCGTTGATGAAATTGGCTCCGTTTTCACAAGAAACAGCTTAGATTAGTAATTAATCTCCGAGAGACTCTGCCGTGTGAATGTTGATTGGCTGTTAATGAAAATAGGATGAGTGTCGAAAAGAAAATGGGACGTTGCACCCAAAGAGGGACTTTTTACATGATAGCGTACATTAACCACTCTAAACAAACCACATGCATACATGAGCACTGGTGCATTCTTACTTATAATTCTTCAGCTAGAGCGTAACGAGAAAGTGCCAGAGCTGCTCAAGCTGTAAAAAATAAAAGCGAGATAAAGTCAGCCGTAACCAGGAGGAGGTGATGAATGTGACATTTCAGCGATTGAAGCAATCTTTCACTTTGCAAACACGTGAAATCGTCCCTAAAATAAGCTCGTCCATTATCTCAACCGAGACTCTTCCTCCGTGCAATTACACCAACACGTTGTTCTTAATTAGAAACCGTCGGATTTTTCTATTTTGCACCCAATTTTCATCTCTGACAGCTTTGTAATGCCGCTTGTTTTCCACTGAGTAGCCCGACCGACCCCCAGCAGCTGGCGTGTTCTAGAAGCACACGGACAAGGTGGAGAAATGGAGGGAATGTGGGGGGCTAAACAACAAATGTTGTGCTGAGGCATCCAGGCAGAAAGCACCTGCCGTAAAGGTTAACAGGAACAAAGCGCCCCCAAAACCCCCCCCCTCCCTGAAATCCTTTTATTTTTGCCCGAGAAACATGAAACTTCAAATGAATCCCTTATTTGAGAGACCGCGATGCGTGCAGGCAGATCAATATACACACACACACACACACACACACACACACACACACACACACACACACACACACACACACACACAGTGATTTCCATTTGGGCTCGACTTACCGTGGCGTCCTTCTTCTCGTTCCAGCGGGTGATGAAACTGTTCTCGATCTCCATCTGCTGCACGCGGCTTTCATTGACCTGTTGGACACACGGCGACAACGTCGGTTCAGAAACCCGGCGGAGGGGAAACATCGGACCGTTCGGGCGGACGCGCCGTTTTCCAGAGCGCCGTTAACTGTAACCCTTTGAATCCAGATCTTATTCCAACTTCATCGATCTGACTCATGGCGGCGTGTTGAGGCCTCATAACGGGCCGCCGTCAACGGCATCCGCCCCAATTAACCGGGGCGTCTCGGCTCGTGATTGGTCGAGCTTAACGGCCGTTTGTCACGCGAGCGGTGGCGGCGTGCCGAGGCGATTTTGGAGTGAACTCTCCTCCTTTGGGACAAGGAGACAAGGGGGATCCCGGCGTTCTGTGGGGAATTAGCAGCCGTTTACGTTGCTCCCGCACGGACCCGCCCCCAGGTCGAGCCATGTCGAGCCAATTTGTGAGGATCTGGCGACGGCATTCAAAAAAAAGGAATTGTACGGCTCATTCCTCAAGAGTCTTCATGAGCAGCAACGTCTCGGGTTGTCTTCTATTTTCTACTTTACAGGTTAATAAAAATAAAGTATTTCCTCCCAATCATGTCCAGTAGATGAATAAAGGAAACCTCTTTGACTCACGCTGAAGAGTGTCACGTAGTTGCTGATGAGGTCGTGGACGACTCTGATTTCCTGCGGGGTTTGTCCCCGAGTCTGGAACAAGCGGGCGGAGAAGACGGAGGCCAGTTTTTCGCTGGGCATGTGATTGAGGTTGGAGCACTGCTGGATCCTGGAATCACAACAACAACAACAACAAAAAAGAGGAATCTGAGCACACGGTCAAACGGCTCCTATCAGTCACGCGGCATCACTCTTGATCCCTCACGCCTCCGAGACACAGAAACACACACGGAGGTCGGTGAGACTTTGGGCCTCAGTCCAAACTGTGTGTGTGTGTGTGTTTGTGGGACAGGATCCAGGAGGCGGCGCCGGCGTTCGCCTGTTGGGCTCTGTGCACCTCGGGGGGGGGGGGGGGGTGTTTAATGCTGACGCGAGATCGCACACAACTGCATTCTGAAAACGTATTACCGGAAGGTTCTACACACACACACACGCGCACGTTTAAATGCTGACTGTTCGCAATGTCCGAAAAAGTGAAAAGCATTTAAACTCCATCAAAAGTTTAAATCGCAAGCAAACGACTTTCCCCCGACTTAAAACTTGAACAAATACGTTTTCCCCCTCGCGGAGGGAAAAAAAAGCTTCCTGTTGCAGAAAATAGCAGTGGTTCTGCCATGTGCTCTCCGCTGTGTGTTCGCCAACGCCCGAGTTTTTAATTACGAGCAACTCAATCTGTCGAATGACAAATTACACAAACAAACGGCACGAACCGCCGAAGGAGAAAAAAACTCCATACTATCAAATAAATGTCTCTTTCGGGCCTTGAGCGGCTCCCAGACATGAACGTGGAGCTACGTCCGCTCCATCAGCCAGCGCGCCGATCACATCCATGACGCAGACCAGAGCAACAACTAGCCTCTATTTGTGTGTGTGTTTTGTGCGTCTACCTGTAGAGATGTTGGAGGACGGCATCGAGGGTCAACTTGTTTATCTTTGGCAAACTCTCTATGTAGGTGGAGTACTTCTTCACTCTCTGCTCTCTCGTCCTTCTCATCTGGAAAAAGCAAAAAGAAATCAACTCGACAATGACAAACGTGCAGGAGACGAAGGCCGTTGCGCAGTCGACGCCTCGCCGTACCCAGAGCAGACACCCAGTACGGGTAAAGCTCCTTGGTGAGCAGCGCGTCCTCCGCCTGGGACAAGAAGCTCTTCAGGGTGTCCGTCACATCCTCCAGCTGGTGCTCCTTCCTCCTCAGCTTGACGTTGCGGGCGTCCCGCCTGAACTCCTGCAGGAGCAGCGCCACCCGGCCGGCGTCCCCCGGCCTCTCGTAGAGCCCCTCCTGGCGCAGACCTGGTGGCGTCGCCAAAAGGGTGGACGATCGCGGCGTCAGCCGACGAGCAGCACGATTTTAACGCCAGTGTATACGGAGCATGAAGGTGACTCACCGTATTGGGTGACGAAGGCGATGCAGCTGTCCACGGCGATCGGGACGCCGTTCTTGGTCAGCTGTTGGTCGCTGAGCGCTTTGCCGTCCGTGCCGGCGGCCAGCGTGATGGCCGAGTGCCACAGCGCAAAGTCCATCTTGTTGAAGCCGTGGATGTAAACTGTCCTATTAGACACGCGTTAGAAACACAACTGTTATTATTCATGAAGTAACATAAATATGAACAATATGGTGTTTCATCTCTCAAAGATTGTTCACATATTGAGAAAAAGGCCTCGCTGAGCCAATAAATACACAGACAAAAGGAATCCTAAAGTGCTTCTGCGGAACAAAAGGTTAGAAACACCGACCGCCTCCCTCGAGGCTCCATCACAAACGCCCGAAAGCCAAGAGCAATTAACGGACCGGATCCCCGTCCCAACGTGTCTTTGCCTTTTGACGGAGGCGAAATCAAAGCCAATTAACACACCCTTTTTTTGGGGGGGGGGGTTGGATTTAAATGCAGACTTACCTTCCTCCCTCCACCATCAGCAGCACTTGGATCTTGTCCTCCCCTTCTGTATGCACGGAGACCGCTGCGGGTGGGAAAACAAGTTGTGTGTGAAAACTGGTAGCTGGAGAGAAAAGCTGTAATGCAAAGTAATGTGTTTAAATCTGACATTTGCGGTTGTTCAGTTCTCAGCCGCTGAGAAGCTTTCGCCGTCGAAACCCAGGAAAAATGCATTCATTTCCCGTCACTGAAAGGTCTGAAAGGTCCCGGTATTCATTTACTCTTTTGAGTTGATCCACGCGGATAATAACCCTGCACAATGTGTCCGGACGTACCCGACGAGTGGGCAGGGCGGAGGGAAGCGGGAGTAGAGCGGCACAGCGGTCGGAGGGCCCGGAAGCGTCCCGTTGGACCTTGAGGGGGGTGTTTGTGTCACAGACCCACTGAAGGTGGATTCGACAAGAGAGGGAAGCGGAGCTTGAACGCAAGATGGTTCGAGTTTTGGTGGAAATGCAACCAAATGAGACAGGGGAAGTATTAGGCAAAGGGAAACGAAAAAGGACTCGCCGCCAATCCTTATTTGGTACATTTTTGGGACTATGCAAATTCCCTCTCAGAAGACCGTCATATTAACCAATCGGACGCGAGACCTGTCGCCGAACCGAATCTTTGAAAAAAATCTTTTCATTGGCGAATCGCCTGATTCTGGTGAACCGGATAAGCCGTTAAATAGTGGAAAAGCAACACTAATACGGTCTTTCTGGAAACAACGTTGTTCTATGTGATCCGTGCGAATGCTTGGTGATCGCACAATCCATCACCGGCACGCAGAGGAAACAATTAAATAACAACAAACAAAAGATTGCTAAAAAAACGTTACATATAACGAGGTTTATTTTGGCTGAAAAGTCCTTCATCTTCCAAAAAAAAACAATTAATCCCCAAAGTCTCTCTTGATAAATAATTTTGCTTTTGTGTTTCCTTTGGCAATTTTTCAAGGGCACAGTATTTCATTTGGATCCAAACAAGGAGAGAAGAAAGCCCAGAACTTCACAGGCCTATATTGGCTCAGGAGCGGTTTATTAACAGCGTTATCAGGTAAACGCAAAAAACACTTGTCATCGCTTTGTGAACAAACGCAGCGATCCTCTTTCATCCGTCGTACAGCTCAGTGGGAATTTTTCATTACTGAATATGTTTGTGTGATAAGCAACTAAGTCTGCAGCCTTCTTCTCTCCATAATTTGTACCAGAGAGTTTGTCTACAAATCCTTTTTAAGGGCCGGCGTGAGAGCATTTTCTGGTTTATATTTCAGCCGCTCTGATGTGATAACCTCAGAATATAACAGGCAGCGGACCACGTTCTCGGATGTGAAGCAGTTCCCAAAAAGGAGGTCTTTGAAATTACAGAATTGCCGGATGTTTCCTGACCTTTATAGAAACACTTCAGCGTCCTGTTGAGTTTTGAGGTTATTATTAGTGTGTGTTATCAACAAGAAGAAGAAAGACTTTAGTCCGATCAGAATCGGCTACCAGCCATCACTCTCATTCAAGTTGTCTCCAGAATCAACCAGAATCATGACTCGCAGCGCCGAACATCGCCGGGCATCTTTAAAATCTGATTCTACCCTGAAATGAACTTGATTTGGGACACGCTGACATCAGAGTGCTAAATACGCTGGGCTGCAGTCTTATGCTGATTGCCGATCTTAATTTGTAGATTTAGAGAATTAACTCGTCTCTCTATCCGGCCGCTGCCTTAAGATCAACCCGCAGAGGAAACGGAATCACCGGATGAGCTCAAAGTCCACGTCCTTATCTCGTTTGAAAGGCGTTCATTTCAGGAGCTCCCGGGTGTGAAAACAGATCGGCGCACTGTGACGGATGAATGATTATCCAACTGTATGTGTCATAACACACACACACACACACACACAACACTTGTTTTTCTACTTTGGTTCTAGGTATTTGTGCAGCAGACATCTTGACACGAGACATCACAAAGAGATCAATCCACTCTGAGGAACACAGCTGGGCCCCCTGGAGGCCGCTTTGAGAGGCGGCGCTCCCGCGCTCTTCGGGGATAAACGTCTGTTTATTTACATCGTGGCTGCGTGTATTCGAGCTTTTGAAAACACAACGTTACAAAGTGCTTGACGACAATTGGTGAATGTCAATGAAGCGATGGGAACCAGGCGCTAACGACAGCGACAATGGTCCCAGTTTATTGGCAAAGTTCAGTAAGGATAGAAAAAATGAACGAAAGCCAAAGATTAGAGCTCTTACTTTACCCCCAGTGTGAGAAACCGCTTTGGTACGTTGTGCGAGAGGATTCAGAGAGTAACTCTGCCAGCCAAAATAACACGAACAGGCTGCATCGCACTTGCAAAATCCTCCTGATGCAGTTTGGAGAGCTGCACGTAAGAAACATATTGTGGTTTTAATTGAAAAATGTGGGTTTTTTTGTTGTATTAAATGCCTCGCTGCTTCACAGGGGCACCTTTCATTCGGCGACTCACTGCAGAGAAAATAACAGTTAATCCCGTGTCACAGCCTGTGATTCCTAAAGGGATCCTTTCAGAGCTCCAGAACCTACCATCCTCTGACAAAACATAGCCAGCCCCCCCCCACCCCCCCCCCCCACGCCGCCGCCGGCTCCTCGCCTGTTATGACAGATATGGTTTGAGAAAGCCGGGACTAAAAACGAGCACCGCTGCACTTCTTCATCTCGCCCAAGGTGGGAAGATGGCGCGGGTTTGATTCCACGGCGGACTGTGAACGGATTAAAAGGATCCGTGCACCCCCCCCCCCCCCCTCCTCCTTCTGCTGCTGGACCGTGACACACCGGGGCAATCGATCAATCCACCAAAGTGTCCGAGAACTTAGCGCCTACCGGGCACTAAAAAAAGAAAGCTTCCATCATAGTGGAGATCATATATTATTTGCGCTGAAATCAATGTTACACAAACGGTGGCAAACTGGGACAACGTATGCGCACACATGCGTGGAGAAGCTTCGCTTACTGAGCTCCTGCAGCTGCTTGAGTTGAAGGACCTCCTCCTGCGCCGCCTCGTCCCCGGAGCTGAAGTGCAGGGCGGAGCCCTCCAGCGTGAACCAGCCCCCCCGCCAGTGGTACAGGTCGTGGCCCTCCTTGTAGTGCAGCCTGCCGATCAGCTCCACGTCTCTCCGCAGCAGCCCCTCCGCTTTGGACGGGACGAAGCACTGCGGGGTCACGGGGTCACCCCGGAAGTATTAACAAGCAGCACTTTTTTTTTTTAAATGCCTGAGAACTGGAGGGTGAACCTAAGAAAACAAAACTAACAGGGAAAACAGAACTTGCTATCGGGCTCTCCGGTTCACATGAGAAACTTTTCTCCGTCTGGCCGCCGTCGGCGGACTCAAAGTGAAATACGGAGGTGGGGGACATATGGACGAACCGGCTCAGCCGCCCACTATGTGTGACCGGGCCGCCTGGACTAAGGAGAGAAAACAGGCCGCCAACAGGCGACATATTTACGAAGGCTATTATTAAAGGATCTTGGCGCCATGTAGGGAGGGGGGGGGCGGGGGTAGTCAGTCCTCTTTTGTCTTACTGAAAGACGTTTGTGTGTGTTGTGCGCACAAGTGAGTCACCTTCGTTAGCGCCTGGATCCAGTCGCGCTGCGTCTCCTGCGTCTCCGCCCCGACCACCAGGACGCGCTCCGTGCGCAGGTACAGCTCCACGGTGAACACGGCCCTGCCGGGGACACGCGGCGCGCCGTTAACGCGGGGGTTTGTCTCCGCAAACACAAAAAAAATCGGTGAACACATCGGATTTTTCTACATGCGTTTCGGCTATAGTTTTTTGAAGCGAGATGACCTTTTTTGTAGGTATGTAGTATGAAAGTATAAAGTGCTTATATACACGCTGTTATAACACTTATTCCCACTCGTGTGTCAGCCAGCCAGGGAATGTGCCACAAAGGTAATTGTTCCAAAAAGCAGGGCCAGGAACAAAAAGGGAGGGTGGGGGGGGGAGACGTTGAATTTCGTCTTATTTCCTGTCGTAGTCAGACTTTTAGATAAATGATGGTGGATAAGAGCAGTATTGCTTTTGTTGCCCAAACGCTACTCAACTGGTGGTGGCAAAGGGCCTTTGGGGCAAAGCCGGTTTGAGTGCGCTTTGGGAAGAAAAAAAGAAGTAATTTCTCTGGTTTCAGTGAAGTTTCACAGAGCGACATGTACTGTCCCTTGTGGAGGAACTTGCTGCACAAGTTTAAACAAGCGTAGATGTATGTATATGTATTTCGGGAGCATTTTATTATCACCTTAAGGCTTTCCCGCTCTGAGAAAGTCTCAATTCCCTAAACCTGCATGCATCTAACCCAGTTAGCACCCAAGTCCTTTATTCTTGTTATTCTGTGAGAGGAGGAAGAGTGGAAAGGGACAAAAAAAAGATAGAAAAAGGAGAGTTTTGCTTCAGAGATTTCCATTCGAATCTGAAGGTCAGAATGAACTTTTCCCAAAATAATCTTGTCAAAACAGAAAAGTCTGTCGGTTTGTAATATTCACGTGTCGGTTGGGGGGGGGCTGAAAGGGGGGGGGGCGTTATTCTCGGCGTCCTCTGCCCGAATGCCGCGCTTAATGGAGGCGGCTCGCCGTGGCGCGGCGATGGGCCCGCCGGTGGGAGTGCATCATCTGCATACGTTAATATTCATAAGCGGCAGACAGTCGAGAGGTTAGGCCTCCCCACCGCCGAGCATGCTGGGAACGCTGGGGAGCTGCAGAAAGTGAGGGGGAGTGCGGCGGAGTTTAATCTAGTGAAACGTACGGCCATTACCGGGGAAAATAATAGCCTTCCTGGGGGCGGCGCCGTGACCTGTAACTGGGATGTATGCGGCGAGCTAAAAAACGGCACATGCCGCTGTTGCTTTGTAGCGTCTGTGCACACAGTATCAGGCAACCGGTCATGAGTGTGTGTGTGTGTGTGTCCGGCATCTTAGAAAGGTCTCAGCTTTAGCCGGGCAGCTGCATTTCTAACGGATGTATAAATATTTTTAAAAATGCACAAATAAATCCTTTTCACAACATCCGCCTGTGTCATCAAGGACCTGGCGTATGCTTCACTCATGAGCCATTATCAGAACCGAGGCAGGCGTAGGCACACACACACACACACACACACACACACACACACACACACACACACACACACACACACACACACACACACTGTAACCCAATGGGAGCACAGAGAGGGTGAGCAGGAAAAGGATCGAAACATCTGTTCCTTCTCTGTGACTTTGTCACATTTTCACAAGACATGAAGAAAAGAGTGTCGTCAAAGAAACTTTTAAACTGAATTATAATCTGAGATGCGGTAAAGGGAGCGTTAACGCACGGGGGGGGGGCAGTAGTGGCGTATCCAGTTAAAAGTCCTTTTAGTAATGACTAATGTCCTTTTAGTTAAACACTCATGTTTGCCGTGTGTATAGCAGTAAAATATGAATCTAATGGCGTTTAAGAAAGGGTTTGACTGTAGAGTATGTTTTGGTGTATGTGTGAGTACAAAAAAGAAGAAGAAGAAAAGCCCCATAGCTCGCCGGACCAATGATATGTATTAACTAGTGATGTTATTAACAGCGTTAACGCAAACCCATTTTAACAGCGTCAATTTTTTACTCGCAAGTTTTTTTTAGGCAAATCATTTCCAGGTACATACAAAACCCAAACCCTTTACCAGAAATGTGCACTTTATAATTTTATTTTGTACCGCCCTGTTTGGCAATGTTGTGATGAAAGGACATTTAGAATAGATAAAAATGTGCCATTAATTGTGAATTATTTTGAGTTAACTATGACATAAATGCGATTAATCGTGATTAAATAGTTTAATCGTTTGACAGCACTAGTCTTAACCATAAATGATTACGTACCGCACAGAATTATCAATATTAAATGTTAATTATTAATATTATCACAGAATCTGTATTAAAGCATGTAAAGTTCACTCACTACTTCTTAAAACCCAATGAAGCTTCACTGATCCCGCCTAAAAAGAAGGCAGCGGATTTGGTTTTCTCGCTGGGTGGGCTGATTACTCTTTGACGCGTATTTGTGTGTGTGTGTGTGTGTGTGTGTGTGTGTGTGTGTGTGTGTGTGTGTGTGTGTGTCATACCCGGCACCAGTCATTGTCTCCGTGTGGCTGACGGCCAGGCTGACCACCTCTGAGACGTCCACCCTGCCAGTGGCCGCCGCGCTGTGCTCGCTCTCGTAGTAGCTCAGGAAGCCGCCCTCCAGCGTGCACCAACGACGCGCCATGTCTGAAATGTTCCGACAGGGAACAATCCCGTTAGCACAGCAACACAGGAAGACACACAAGAGACACACCGAACATTCTTCACATGTTTTGTAAATAAAAGGAAAAGGGATGATTATCAGTGCTGTCAATTAAACGCGTTATTAACGACGTTAACGCAAACCCATTTTAACTGCGTCAATTTATTTATTCATTTTTTTGCTTTACATGTTGTGTGACCCAGCTACTTGATGCTGTTTAAGGGACAGTCCTACAAACGTCACTCACAAAACATGCAGAAAAGAAAACAAATCCAGCACCCCACTTATCCATGTTGATAAGAGCATTAAAATGAAAAAGAAAATTATAGCAAAAGAATAAATGAAGGGACATTTAGAAAGATAAAAAACTGCCATTAATTGTGATTAGTGTTGAGTTAACTATGACATGAATGAGATTAATAATGATAATCATTTTATTTTTTGCGTACCTAACTTGGACATTTACACAGAATTCTACAACATTTGATTACTCCTGCATTGCATGCTGATAAAATTTAACCAGCCACCGGAAGGCCCGGTGTTTTGAGCCAAATGTCCCGGCAGAACCCGCATCCAAGAGAAGAAAAAGAAGGGGGAAAAAATAAAACATCAGCAGTGAAACCTAAGAGGTATTGGCAGGGAGAGAGGAGTGCAAACATCTCGCTGTTGAGGAACAGAAGATTTAGTTTTGTGCTTTGTCTTTACAATGAAGCAGCGAGCTCGATCCCAGAGCGGGAAAGCTGGAGAACGAGCGCCGCCTTCCGTGACTCGCGGAGCGAATCGCAGCCCATTCACGCAGCCAATGAGCGTGAAGTTCACGAGAACACACCGAATTTTGGATTTTTTTATTTTTTTTTCCAAAGTCGCCGTGCCATCTGCTTTTGCGTTCAGCAAACACACACACACACACACACACACACACACACACACACACACACACACACACACACACACACACACACACACACACACACGGCCCCCTGTCGCTTGTGACTCTAAAGTTTTCCACTGTATTCATCTCATGAATATGCTAATTGCACATTCCTTTGCCAACTGTGTGTGATGTTTCTAAAGGAACAGATATAGTCAAATAAAAAAAGGAAGTGTCTACAACTGTCTGTTGAAAGAGGAAGAGGACGGGATGAGCTTTGGAAAACCAGGATGTCAGTTTCGCTCTCTTCACCCTTTCTCTCACTTTTTTTTTCTCTCTTTGCTCTTTTCAGTCTCTGGAAAAATAAATTTAAAAAAACAATCTGGACACAAACATCTGACGAAATGACTGATATGCTGTTGCTCACTGTGGCATTTAAAAAATGTGTTTTTCTTCTGACCCCACTTTGCCGTGGAAAGACAAAGACAATTCCGGCGGCTGAAGAATCTCAATCTTTCATCTTAAACCCGACGTGCAGGTGGCAGTTTTGCATCCGAGTGAGTGTGTGATGACAACAAGAAAAGAGAAAGAGAGAGAGAGAGAGAGAGAGAGAGAGAGAGACTGGTATTTAAAGTCATTACCAAACCAATCTGAGAGAACGCACTGTTGTCTCGGTGATGGAAGATATCGTAACTTCACTTCCGCTCTAAATGGGTTTCCCAGAAAATGTCATGTCCATCATTTCCTCGGAGAGGTATTTTTTATTTCGTGAAACATTTTTATGAAATTGCGCCTTCCTTAACGAACTGAGTGGTTTCATTTGTATCGTCCGAAGGTCAAAATTAGGTCAACAGCTGTTTTAAGTTGCTAGAAAACAGCTTTTTGCTACATCCTGCTACATTTGAACAACAAATAAATAAAACAACCTCAACACTGGGGATTACTGTTACTTTTTGTATTTTCACATAAATAGGGGCAAATAGTTATTGTCTAGGGTAATGGTTCCTAAACCGGGACTACAAGTTTAGGAAAAGTAGGGCAAAAATGTGTTGGAATTCGTTTGGTTGTACTACTTCAATCAGACTGATATTACGGAACATTCTAAAGTGATTGATGCACATGGACATCATGTTCCCCAGAGGAGGAATCCTGATGACTTGGAACCCCCTGACTTTTTCTTATAAACGGCTCACATCTGCTTAATGTGTTATTATGTTGTTTTATAATATAAAAACAAAAGGGGCCCCAAGATAAATTATATCATAGGAAAGCAGGAAAATTATTAAATGAAAATGATGTTTTTTTTCATTTCTAAATTTCTGGATAGCTTCACATTTAACTCGACATGAATATTTAAATAAACCAAGGATTTGAATGTTGGATAATGTGCTGACGAGGGGTCGCACACGTCCTGATTGCCCTAAACCATCAGAATTATGAATAGATTTCATTTTCGTCTTGGCACACGTGGAATCTCCTTGAAATGTCGGACTCTACGCTGCACTAAAGGAAGAATAAAAGAAGACATCTTTAATTTCCTTTAAACTCCAAGAAAAGACATTAAAAATCCCATCGTGCATGCTGGAAGTAAATTGCTACAGTAGCCCAGGTCCCCGGGCTCGCCACTCCACCAGCCACTTGCTGAGGAGCTGTCCTAATATTGGCCAACGCACCCAAAAGAACAGAAGCCCAAATAGACCGAGGAGACAGAAGGGGAGCGATTAAAGGGGGGCCGACAGGTGCAGTGAGACTACAAATGTTGCACAAATGTAATTTCAGATACGCTTATCTCTGTTGGACTTGAATTGTGAATGGATATGAAGGATTTGGTAGAGTGATTGAGGTGGTTTGGGAAAAGGTGGGTGGGGGCTGTGATGACAGGAAAAGAAAAATACATTTTCACCAATGGCCGCCTCAAAAGATGGGAAACATGTGGCGGCGTGGATGTCATTCCGGTACAATAATGACTTCGGTGTGAATGGGAAAGAGCTGCAGTCAGTGCAACCCAAATGGAACGCTAACTATTATCCGGCTATTTCGGGACTCGTTTCTTTTCGAACACACGGCGATGAATGCCTTTTGGATCCCCTTCAACGCATTCCACCAGGAAACGGGCTCCGTCTTTGTTTGTGGTGCAGGGCTTCCTCCGGCGGGCGGGACGCCCGGCGAGCTTCCACGCGTGCGGCCGTGCAATCGGGAGGGAGGGGAAGGCGACACAATGGCGCTTGATTTACAATCAAGCAGCTGCGCCCGTTTGCCAGCTGTTCCCGGAAACCGCGGACGTAGCCGCTCTCCGCGGGGGTCCGCGAAACCGCCCCGCCCCGCGGAGACGCCTCCACCGGCTAAATTGGGCCCATTAGCTTGTACGCCTTGAGTGCTCCCTGCATGGCTTTGTTGTGGAACCCCCTTTCTCCCCCCGAGCTGAGCGCCCTCACCTCCCCTCGGTAATTTGTCAAATTCGCCCGAGTTGCTCCGAGTGTGCGAGATGACCGGGGTTGATTAAACCCATCCAGCCAGTCGATGCGGCAATCTAACGAGAGGATCACACGTTGGCTCAAAAGTTAAGGCTCTGATTGTGTGTCTCTCCGAACTGCGCGGCCCCCCAGATTTGCCCGACGTCCCCCTGAACTTTTTTTTTTTTAAATCGACATTGCACAGACGCCCACTTTCAGTACGCATCGAAAAAGCAGGCTGCGCCCACGTCCGGTGAATCACCCTCATCTATCTCTCCCTCCCTCCCTCCCTCCCTCCCTCGTTCGCTCTACCCCCCCCCGCTCCCCTCCGCTCTCCGCCAATCTTCTGCCTATCTCGCCATCAGACTAAAATATCTGTGATGAAGACATCTGCTGGACAGCTTGTCAGGGGAGCTAGAAATGGAAATCGAGAAACTGAAGGGATCTGAACGATCTGTCTGTGCCAGAATTACAGCCCACTTCATTACAGGGAGGAATGGACAGATATGGCATAAGATAAAGAAGAACGGGGGGAAAAAAAAACACTATCTGCAGTGTATTTTTGGGCAAAAAAAAAAAAAAGCTGCACCACTGACTCATCTGAGCAAGCCGAGGCCCGGCAACACGAGCTCCCCAGGAGCCGATTACATTACGGCTAATTGTTTCGCGCATTCCTCGTAAAAATGTGAAAATAGGATCCAATCAACGGGACGGCCTTTGAGTTCCGAACATTAAAACACCCCTGACAGCTAATTCTTTAGCAGCAACCCTTCATCATGTTTGGTTTACTGTCAAAGCCTGGACCCCACATCAGGTGATTGAACGTTAATATGCGCTCAGATCCGCGTGCTCGATAAAACTCGCTGACATACGTCCACTCTTCCCTCTACTCTCCGCGCAATCTACTCCGAATCCTCTTCCCTCTCTGGCAGTCGTGACTTACGGTTAGACGCACGCCAAAAAAAAAAAAAAAAAAAAAAAAGGACACAGCTGATGAGCAGAAGACAAAACTAATCAAAAATTAGAGGTGGCACTTCCATACTGCCACTCACCATTTCAGATGGCAACTGCCGAGCGCCTCTCTCGCCTCCAAAGACACACACACACACACCGATTCACACACAGCAGAGTACACACTCTGTGAAAGTGGCGTGGCTTCATTTAGGCTGGAATCAACTGCGGGACCCGGGAATGGAGCGGCGCTCAAGTGAACAGCTAATAGAGTGGCGCCACTCTGGAGGATAAACCAGTTCCACCAAGGCCTCGGCACAAATGGAACAAGAAGGAGTATTTTTATAATCCCAATCTACCCTCGGTCAAGGCCATTACCGAAAAACGGCTCCCCAAATGAATCCACGTGGCACTCTCGGCGGAAGAACGAAAAAGCCTCTTTTGAAGTCGTCTCCAGACAAAAAGTTGAAGATCCGCCGTGGCGGAGTGCTTCTGTTAGGCCCCGACTACGAACCATGAATTATTAAGCACACGTGTGTATCTATAGACCATCTCCCCATTAGCCGCGGGACGAAAGGCATCCCGAAAATACCTCGTCCCGCCAAAAGTCACGTAGTCCTGACGGCGCTCCCTCGCGGTTGAAGGAGCTGGAAGAAGGCACGGCGTTTTAAACCCGACCCCTCTGAATGTTTCAGGAGCTGCAGCTGGAGTCGAAGCGCCATTAGGGCACAAAAGTAGCAAACTCGTACGGCTCTTCATAATAGATGACATAACAGGGTGTTTATCGTCCGAAATATTAGGGGCACTTATCAAAAGGGGTCCAAGCTTGTGAGTGGTGCAAAATGCACGACAAATGGACCTCTGCAAGTGGTGCACGTGAGGCCCGGGTCCATCTGGAGCTCTCGCTCTCCCTCTCTCTCTTCCTCCCCCCCTCTCTCGCTCTCTAGTTCGCAGCTAAACGCCAAAGAGGATTAGGTTTCTGAAAACATTGGCGGCGAGAAATAGGCAATACACAAGCACGATCTCGGATCGGATTTGATCAGCGCTGCTTAGTTTGACAGTTTGATCGGAATTCACAGGCGGTAACCGGCCGCCGCCTCGGAAAAGTCTGCGATTGGTTGTTTTTTGTTTTTCGGCCCAGTGGATTTAGAAGCAAAGCGAAGGTTTTTTCCTTTTTCTTTTTTTCCACAGATTACCCGCCTTATGTACTACCGTCAGGATGTAGCCACACAGCTAATACGATCAAAAATGTTTAAGTGCTCTTGATTATCTGGCAATCTCATTCAAAACAGGCCCATTTGAAACCAATCCCATCCTCCGACCAATCGGATTGAGCAGCGTTTCTGCGTTTCTCCGGTCTCAGCTATTTCCTCTGCGAGGGCAATATACTTCATAACCAACATAAATGATGGCCGGCCATTATGGAATTAGGAGCCAAATTGCAATACATGTGAATTCTCCTTTGACAAATCAAATGGAAATGAATTCCACCTCTACATTTAATGAGAAATTCAATAGACACTGGTGAGAACCCCCTCCCCCACCACCCTCCCGTCTCCTCTAAGGGGCAATTTTCCCCAGACCTCGGTCCCGTCCATTAGCCGGCGTGCACAACCACCGGCGAGGGCGGGTTGAAGGAAATGGAGATGGATGTCTGGTAGATTCCGCCCATCCAAGCGCCGGCGTAGCTGCAAGCTGTCAACGTCCACCCGGAAACCCCTTTCCTCCCCCCATATTTCTCCTCCACCTTTCCCAATAACCCCCTTCCCGAGGGGCGGCATCCCGAGCCAGGCTCCTTCTCCTAATTACCCGCGGGGGCCCCGAGAACCGCTGCAGCTGCTCGGGGAAGTGGGACCGCTGCGGAGCAAGAGGTGCGGCGGCAGCAGCAGCCGAGGAGTTTGAGAGTGAAATGGAGCCTGATTAAAAGTTTTAAACTCCTTTGGAAGGGGGGAAGGGGTGCGGGGGGGGGGGAGGTAGAGGGGGGTGACGGGGGGAGGGGACCTAGCATCTCTCAGGAAAAATTCGAGAGGGCTTGAACGAAAATTCGTTAATTTATTCTCGTCTTAAATTTGAGACCCCGGGCCTCCGTTCAACCCCCGCGGCTCCTCCTCCCGTAGAGCGCAATCAGGGCCCGGGACGTCCGTATGACGAGCACTCCCGGGGGGCCGCCGAAAGACGGTTCCATTGATCGTTTCCACCGCGCCGTTTGGTGTACGGATTAAACGATTGGCAGCTTGGCAGCTGACAAGAGTGACACTGATTGATCGCTCAGCGCTTAACTGGAGCGGATCTCTGACAAAACACGCGAGTGTGAATTGCTTACAGATGGATTGACGGATGAATTCGGCCCCGCATTGCTCACCGTCTCTTCCGCGGCGGTCCAGCGAGGTCTTGGCCGGCGCCGCGGAGATGTAGAGGAAGCCATCCATGAAGAGGGAGGCGTCGGACGGGGAAGGGCTCTCTGACCACTGCTCGAGTCTGGGGAAATCTGCGAGGAGAGGAGGAGAGAGGTGAAGGAGATGAGCAGGGAAATGTGTTTTTTTTTTTCTCCCCCAATTAGTGGGACGGTGGCAGATCGGCAAAGCGATGCTTCAGTAACACCTCCACCCGCAGCGGGAATGTTCCAGTTTAAAATTTGGCGAATTATTGACGAATATATACCACAGAATTGATGATTTACAACAACAACAAAAAAAAATTTATATATATATATAATTTTGATGTCTAATGCAACAAACTCTATTGCACTGCTGTGTATTACCTTCATTTAATATACTACATTAATTTGTTTTCGGTCTTGGATGGTGGTAAATTGTTAAATTGAGTGTGCAGTCATTGTGCGTATTTCTTCCCCAAATAAATAAAGTGCATGAAACACGATCATCTTTCCGTGCTGTATTTGTCACATGATCATTCAGACGCACACCTACGTGTACTGTATCTGTTAAAAACATTAGTTACAGTCCGTCTTCATCTCTGTCCAGTTAAATTAGGAGCCTTGCCTGTTCACTTTTCTGCTAAACTCCCTCATCTGGTCCCTTCCCGCTAGCTTTGGAGCTCCACACATTCAACCTTATCGTTCTCAAATTCAATTAGCTTCAATTCTGTGGTTCAATTTTCTGCCAGAGCCTCTGCAATATCTTACAGATTTTTATCTTCGCTACCTCCAGCTCTCTCATCAAGCAAGGTAAAAAAAAAAAAGAAAAACTATAATTGGAACAACTTTTAATTGAAGCGACATTTCCACCCTTTCCTGACACCACCTCATCTCAGGGCCGCGCACCATTCAGCAGAGAAAAAACAATTGGATAATTCAACAAGACAGCTTACTCAGAGTATAAGTCAAATTCATTTTAACTGCGTTAAATTAACTGTGTCCACGAGCACATGAATGCTCTTTGAATTACACTAAATATCAGGAATAATTAAAAATATGATTAAAAATGTGAAAATATATATATATATATATATATATATATATATATATATATATATGAGGCCATTGTTTGCTATGTTTCTGCTATTCACAGTGTAATGAAATACATCTTCAAAGTTATTTGAGTTGAGTATTTTTATATCAGAAGCGCTCTCTGTTCTTTGGCAGGGTTGGCTAGTCAGCCCATATTACCTTTGATTGCATAGATGTGTGTAACCAGCCCTAGAAGAGTCATATCATTATTTTTCACATCTAAAAGAAAAGAAAAAACATACTTTTTTCCCTCCACACAAGTTAAGAAGAAATGAAGACTGTAAAGGCTAAAAAAAAGTAGCACCCAGGAAATAAGCTATCACCCATGCTAGTAAAAAATCAAATCAACACCAGCCCCATCGGGCATGATGGAGGCATTTTTATTCACTGCAGCCAAGGATCTGGAGCCAATCAGTGGCAGCGTGACATAAAGCCTGGGCGACATTAGCTAGCAACATCTGTAATATGGCTTTGAATCTAACACGGACAATGTGTGCGCCAATGGCGGCATCGTAAATACATGGAATCTGACAGAATTTAATCAGCAAACTGCAGGGAAGTGAATCCAACACACACACACACACAACATTTTCCAAGCACTCAGGTTGAGAGAATGTAAATAAGCCAGTGGCTTGATGCTGTATCAGTTGTAACAAGGCTCTCTCTCTCTCTCTCTCTCTGTGAGCCTTCTAAACAGTCCCCGCGGGCCCCTAAAGCTGGACTCAGTTAAGATGGGACTGTGATGTCTGTGGGGGCGGCGGTTTGAGGAGTCTGGCCTGCGCTGATTGGCTCAGTCCCCAGCGAAGGGATGTGACATGACAGAGTGCTCAATTAGCCATCTGGTCGCCTACGGCAACGGTCGCAAAGTGGTCCCCGACAAGAAGTGTGCGGCGCGGTAATCAGTGGCCGTTGCCGTCGCGCGGACAGTCTGCAACACACACACACACACACACGCACACGTACAAACAGTGAAGCCGCACATTGTAAATGATAACACAAACGGCTAACAAAGATAAAACGTACAAGTCAGCCAAAGATGAGAGCAGAAGCTTACATTGTCATTCACGCAATTACAGTAAAAAAAGACGCATCAGCTTCAGGCCACACGTGAACACAAACCGTGTTCTTTTCTTTCTGTTGTTGCCAAAAAGCACTTTACTCCAAAATGAAAAGCAGCCACACAGAGACACTCCAGGGGGGGAAACTATAAAGGCCAGGAAGAAACAACACTAACCAGCTGCTCGTGACCTCCTGACCCTCCGTCGGTCGGGCCGCACAGTTTGTGCAGACGTAAAAAAAAAATTAAAAAAACGTTGACACAACAAGAAAGTGGCGGAGCCCCTTTTCCGATGTTCCCAACAGCAGCGTGGACTGGAGACCAGCGATGAAACAGGGGCCTCTTATTTAGTGTTGCTGTCTGTGCGTTGATGTTCATCTTTTTATTATCCACACGGAAAGACCAGGCGAATGCATTTTTAATGCGACATTCAGAGATCGCCTGGCGCCAGGGAACGCCGGGCCAGGCCGCAAATAAAAACTCCTGCACGCTCCCGAATCCGCAGCGTGTCATTTAAAGAGCGACGTGGAGCGATGCCAGCCGGCAGGCGGCGGCGGCAGCGTTGCACGCTCAGCCTCGGGTTTTTTTCCCGCAGTGCACCGTCCTCTCGGGGCGGAGCCAGGAGGCTCCCCGTCAGCCGCGATTTACATGTCTGCGTGGCTCTGTTTGCAGTCGAGACATTAGAGGACGCTCTTATCCAGAGATTTACGGGGTAACGGCCGGCCGGGGGCCCCGCTTGTCTCGTTGCGAGGCACACTAGTCGTTTGCTGAGGATTTCCGATCGCAACCTTAAAGCTGCTACTTTAGTTTGTTCATGCGGCAAGCATTTCAGAAATAGTTTTTAAGGGGAATGCGTTTTTGTTTGGTGACAACAAAGTACTGACTTGCCTTAAAAGATGCAGTCGTTCTGAACAGTTAGTCAAATACATAAAAATCCAGTTTGTCGTGGAGAGAATTTGAAATTAAAAGTTTGAGTCCATCAGCGTTCGTCGAGAATGACTTCACAGCGGGGAACTGACTATGAACTAGCCTGTCGAAAAGTGTCACCAAACCCAGATCAAAGCACGGCCGCCGCCGTTTTGTGGGTGTCTGCTGTCGTATCCGTCGCTGTGATCAAACTGGAAAGTGACAGCAGGGACGGTGCCAGAAAAGCTCACCGCGAAACGGGTTCGACGGTGTGTTCATTTCAGCATTTAACCACCACGCTGCTTAAACCTCACGTTAAAATAGTTAGAGATAGCGGCTAATGAGGCTCCCTCGGCCGGAGCGGATGGAGACACCGTGGAATGTGAAAAATGAGGAAGGAAGCTAAAGACGTACGACAAACCACCCCAGTGGAAGCGTTCGCCTGGAAGAGATGGACCCATCACCCCCCTCCCGGGGCTGCCGGCGGTGCTATTTTGATGAACTCTTGGGATGGGGACATGCAAATGAACGAGCTCCTGCAGTATCCCAGGGTGCCGCGGGGCGAGGGAGGTGTGGGCGGGGCTACGAGGGCCGCCGACGTGCTTACAAACCAGCTACAAACGAGTGAAGGGAGAGATAAGATAAGTGCAGAGACTTTATTCGCTGTCCTCAGGCCACCTCGAGCGCGCGCTGGACCGACCGACTCGACCGCTGAAGCCCCCCCCCCCTCCCCGGAAGCCCCCCGCGCTCTGCTTTGTTCTAGATATCGGCTGCTGCGATGCAGCTACGTTCCAACGCCCGAGCCGCGCAGTCGGGACGGGCTCATGTGGGTATTTGAATTGTTCCCAATCTCTGGCAGACACAACCGCTGAAAAAGTTACTTTTTTTTTGTTTAATCTAAATTCTCTGCAAACTCTGGGGGGAGGGAAGGGGGAGGGGTGCATGCACAAAAACAATGGAAGCGCCACTTTGCACAGCTTTACGCCGCGACGCGACAATGCGTCCGGTAGCTGGAAAATGTCAAATGGGGAATTCAGACAGGGGTTTTTTGTGTGGAGCTTTACTCTTTTCAGCACGCCATAATGGTCCACTGTAATTCCACAAATTGTATTTATTTTACAAGCGGCTCTCCTCGCTCGAAAAAGATGGCAGCGCACAAATTCCCCCGTATGGGTCGGTCGATACTAGCCCGGGCCTCGTGATGCACTGTGCCAAGAGGACTTTGTGTCCGTGTGTATTGATAGAATGTTTCAGCTTATTCAGGGAACAGAAGAATAATTCAGACGCATAAAAAAGATAACAATTGGCATTTGCTTGTATTTAATAAGATAAAAGTTCATGAACCGCCCCCGTTCACAAAGGACGGCGTGGAGGACTCGTGGCTTTGTAAACGTCACCGTGCATTTTCACATCAGGATTTGGTCCATTTCTATAGGAGGCGTTTGGTCGGCATGTTTTTTTGTTCTTGTTCCAACGATGAAGCCCGACCACCAGTAACGAGCGCATGGAGGCGGCCGGCGTGCCGCGCGTTCCCCCCCCCCCGAGCGGCAGTTTGTGTGGCCGTCCGTCTAATGGCCGTCACCAAGGCAACCAGGTGACCCACGCCAGCAATTAGGAGTCCCTAACGGGCTCGGCGAAGGCGAGCGTTCACAGACGCGGCGTATGCATTATGTAAAATACAGTCCCTGAGAAAAGTCGCCCCCCCCAGCCAATGACCTCTCTCGCTGCTTTGTGCCCCGTCTCCGATGGCGCGGACACGGGCTGTGGGTGATAGGAAGGGGAGTTTAGGGGGAGAAATAGCGATGGGAGAGAGATTTCTTCTTTTCTCCTTCGAACTCGCCGGCTTAGAATTCGTGGGGCTTTTCTGCCTTCATTTCAGATTCGCGGCGGTGAGAAGGAAGAAAAACCTCCCACTGTGCTCTCACAAACGTGGCGGCGCCTGAGAGTTCTAAACATGATTGGCTTGTTAAAAGCAGTAGAGACAATGGGCTGAATATATATACGCGGCGCCTGTAAAAGTCCAGCTCGCACGCAGAGTTTAAAGGGCCTTTCGCAGACTTTATGTAGACGCGGCGGCTCCTTTTCCCGGGTCGGTCCAGGAGAATTTATGAGTTATTCCGTTTCAAAGCTACTTTCTGCGGTCAGTGGCCATGGAAAAGTTTTCCGTGTTCGACCTGCAACTCTGGTTTCACTTTTCCTCACTTAACGAAAGCACGTGCACAGTCCATTTACTTTCGATACCGAGTCACGAATCATCGGCTAACCAACTTAGCGACAGCAGTGAGCAAGCATTTCTATTGAAGCCAACTAGCATTTCGTTAGCATGCATTCAAATGCCGAATCAAGTTGGAGTATTTTACACTAAATGTTAAAAGGCATAACTCATTAACTGTTAAAGCCGAAGGTGCAGACTTTTGGCCTTGGACACGCAGCTTCAGCACCACTCATTTATTTTATTTATGTGAGCGGCAAGAGCATAGTTGGGATACTTTAGCAGAATTTCAAGTGAGCAGAAGTGAGAGTTCGGAGACAATTCCAGGAGTTAGCATGCTATCAGCTAGCTACGGTGGATGATTATGAAGAAGCGGGGGACTCGGTTCATACGTTATAATACATCATTTAGTGTACACACGGGGATGAGGCCACGATGCTGAAGCCATGTAATCAATAAAATGCCAGCGCTGCTTACCAGAGAGCTTGTTCTGGTGCAGGAACTCCATCTGTAGCTTCTGTCCCGCGCGTTGGGCCAGGAGGTACGGGGTGGAGGAGGCCGGGTCCCCGGTGGCGCACATGACGTCCGCCCCGCTGAACACCAGCGCCATGGTCAGCAGCAGGTCGGGCGTCACCACGGCCGCGCACAGGGCCTGGACACACAGGAGACAGCCGTGAGGTCGCCGCCGCCGCTGTTTGCACTTTGCTCTGATGTTGGATTTGGCGGCCTTTTTCCAATTTGGACGTAGTTCGAGCTCGTCAGAGCGGCTTACAGACTGAGCGCCGTCGCCGCTTGTTGCTTATTTCTAAGTTGCTTTTAGAAATGTCCTCACACGGGGGGGGAAGCGGCTCGCTGCCGCAGGTTGATGGAGGACAAAGAGTCTATAAAGCGGCATCAGGAAACCGTGTAAAGTTTGGAATTGAGTTCCGCCCGCTGATCTCCAAAGAGAAGTTAAAATAAGATCAAGCTTTAATACTCCCTGCGGGAATCATTACATCTCTAATCCCCGCGAAAATAAAAAGGGATATAGCAAATAAGGACAAGATAAATGGGTCATATTAAGTATAATGAAACCAACAGATTCAAATTTGGAAGAGGAGAAGTGTGTGAATAGAGGCATAAAAGGGAATGAGTTGAGCAAATAACAACAGCAGAGCAAACTGAGGCAAAGGGGAATTCAGGGAGCGGATGCTCCGAGTGTGCAACATATGTACAATATGACAGGGCAATGCAATGGAAAACACATGAACGATAATGCGGCTTTAAGAAATGAGGGGTGTCGAGAAACGTGGCCCTAATCACACAATGTCTTAGAAACACTCGTACATAAAGAAAGCGTAAAGCTCCGCATCGCTTCTGCTCGACTCCAGCTACGCGAAGAGAGGCGGTTTGCGCAGTCGAGTATGATGGGAAGCCGACCCAAAAATAACAAATTGGGCCAACAAACCGAGTCAGCACTCACAAATAACTTACACTTTTAATGACGCACAGCGACGAGGGAGAACAGCGTTTCAGTCCCAACCTTCCCTCAACATCTACACAAAGACATTTATATCTTCATATTCTTCTCCTCTTCTTGGGTTTTCCCTTTGTGGCCATGTCATTGGACGAACGGACCGGTTCAGACATCTTTGCAGTGCCCCCCCCCCCACGGTCCGTCTCTCGATGCGACATCGCGTGACCCGCGCCGAAGTGGATCGAGCGGCAAACGCCGAGATTTTTCTACGGCCGACCTCTCTTTTCTCGGCACCCGGAGCGAGTCGGTGAGCCGCATCGATCCGCCCAGAACGAGGCGAGATCCGTCTGAAAGAGGAGGCGCATCGCGCGCACACACACACACACACACACACTCCAAGCAGCTGTCAATATAACCCGCCCCCACACCCCAAGGACCCGCGAGGACGTTCCAAGCGCACCGATTTATGTATCACTATCCATGTGCGTCATTTCTGCGCCCATGACTCATCTTTAAGAACAGAAAATGCCCTTATCAATAAAAAATGAAAAAAAAACATTTATCCATCCGCACTTGCGCACTAAAGACCGGGGGGGTCAGATTATGGCAAAATAGTCCCAAAGCAACTCGACCTTATTCTGTATCATCTCCGGAAGTGACCTTCCGTGTCACAGCAATTACTGCGACCACGAGAGGGGTTTTGTGTGTGTGTATGTGTGTGTGTGTAATGATATAAGCGGGTCCTTTGACACCTCCCTCTAGGTCACGGGGCCTGCAGAGACCACGTGGAGGTCACCGGCATATGAGCTTCTAATGGGGAACATGGGAGCGAGAGAGAGAGCAGCGTGAAGACGAGGCTGTGAAGAGGAAGGAGAGCGGGTGGAGAGAGGAGGTGGGGAGGGGGGACAAAATATCCCAACAGGATAAGCATGCATAACAGAGACGATGAGAGAGACACACACACATTGGTGCAGCCAGGCATGCATCACTTTTAATTCCATTCCATTACTCGAATCGACACTTCAAAGCGCCGCGCGGACTGAGCTTTGTGGCCCCTGCGCCCGTAGAAACATGTTAAAATACCGTCACATGATTTCGCAAAGGCATGAATGTCAGTGAGGGAAATTGCTCGCATTATTGTCTTTGTTCCAGAGACGACTCCCGAAGGAATAGGTTTTATATATTATTCGCTTATTCGCTTTTCCGTATTCGTACTTGTGCGATGGAAAGTACGCGTGACACAAAACTGGAACAACGTGTCCAATGAGATTAGACTCAGTGTCCTTGTTTAGGTTGAAAACACTTTTTTTGTTGCGTTTTTTTCTCTTTTATAGGTTGCACAGGATTCATTACTTTTAGCTAAGACAAACTAACTTGTGTGTTATTATTAGCGCGCGCGCACACAGACACGTTGAGCCACCATGTGTGTGTGTGTGTGTTTGTGTATCTCGATCAAATCCCGTTCAAAAAGGCTCGCTAGTCGGAGAGAAAGCACACGTGACCTCCACCTTTTCCCTCTATTTCCCCTCACGCACACACTTCCACACACACACACACACACACACACACACACACACACACACACACACACAAAGTCTCCATTGCCCAAACCCTTTTAGGCAGCCTCACTCTCTATGGCTGTCACACTTCATCTCCTGCAAAAAAGTCACACTAGAACGGCAAATTCACACATCCTTAGTGGTGCAGCACACGTGTCCACACGCGTGTACACACCTTACACACTCCCGAGTACACGTGCACGCGTTGCTGCCAGCGAAGCCGCAATAAAACCAACCCAGGCGTTTCTGTCGTGGGTCCTAATCCACTTTTCCACTTAGCTTGCCGGTATATCTCTTCCTTACCTCCCTCCCTCCCTCTTTCTCTCCCTCCCTCCCTTCCTCCCTCCCTCCAGCCCCCCTTTCCGCACCAGAAAACAATACACGGAGGCTGATCTGCGTAAATGTTGACGCAGGTGGAAACTTACGAGCGTCTCCTACACGCGAAGCCACAAAAGAAACAGCCTTTTCTGCCTTCTTGCTTATTCTCGCTGCGGCGATAAACCCTGGAAACGACAGACTGGAGGAGGAGAGCGGGAACTGGGCTGAACTGCTCGCACAGATTCTATGGCGCCGCTTTACCGGCGGTCGAAAGGTCGGATTGCTGTTGGATTTGGCTAATGGAGCTAGCTGCGCGCCGCGTTTCTTAGAAGTACACACTTTTCACTCAGAACTCCCGCTGCACTCAGCTTCAACCCGTGACCAAAAAAAACACATTAAATGTCTCAAGCAGAGACATTTTTCAATCTACAGTTGACTACACGTATAGAAACAACGGATAAAAACCTAAAAGAAACTGAATAAAATCGTCCTGCATCCTATTCTGGCATTTCCAGTCAGGTAAACGCTGAATTCTACGCACACATCGGATGGATCCACCGTTGTTTGGGTAGGAAAAGGCAGCTACACCTGCCAGGTGGGAGAGCGCGGCGGTGGAAAAGCTGCGCGGCTTAGGCCGTGTTTACACCTGGCGTGACCGTGCGTTTTCGCTGATCCGACCGCAAGGGGAAGGCTCCGAGCACATCGTTTCACATCTGGAATTAGAAGGCGCCTGATCGGATCCGGCTCGCCGCCGCGCCGTGTACGTACACAAGTGAACAATATCCGGTTGACCGAGATGCCAAATGAAAACAAAAACGCAGACGCACACCTGATACTCATCCGTGGGCTTTGTCCATATTGCCACGACAATGGGGCGCACATTTAACGTTGAGGATATCTTGTCAATTTGAGGATAAGTTGCCATGGCAGTGAGAGGGGGGGGTGGACAGTGGACAGTTAGAGGAGACTGGCGAGCGTCTCCACTAAGAGGGCACCTGGTTGAGCTGCTCCAGGCGGCGAAAGCCCTCCAGCACCTTCCGGTACTTCCTCTCCCTGTACTTCCTGCGGACGAAGGTGGCGCGCTGCTCCTCCGAAGCGCCGCTGTGGATTTCCTCCTCCGGGGGAAGATTGGCGGCCCAGAAGCTGTTGGTATTCTTGTTGCCTGCCTCCAAGAAGAGCTGAGGGAAACGGGAGAGGAGGACAAATACGGCTGAGAATTCGAGATCTGGTTGATTTGGTCTTAATTTGCTCGTAATTAAAAAAAATGTAAAAAAGGAATCTGTGTGTACCTCCACCAGCTCATTGCTCCAGATGCTGCTGTCCAACTTCAAGCTGCGCACTTTGGAAATGCTCGGGCCGAGGGAGCGATGTTGCCCTGGAACACGGAGAAGACACACGTGAGCTCACAGAGGCACGTGCGCGCAGGTCACGCCGGGCCCACGCGGCCTTTTCAGCTTCCCGGTAAGTTGACGCAGGGAAAAACTGAAAAAAACTGAACAACGTCAGCGGAATAAACAACCAAACAGGCGGTTACAAGACGGGGAAACGGAGCGTGACTGGAAGCGCCTTCTCTCCCTCACAACGGGCATATTTAGTCCCCTCAGCGGCCCTAATTGGAAATGAAAGCACGGAACGAGGGCCATTAATTGCTAATGATTCATGAGTAATTCATTGTTAGTGGGTCGGCCTGTTTATTTGGGTGAACGAGAGGCTGCCGGGGTTGCTTATGGACAGAGACACAGCCCACATGCATAATACATTGGGAAGGGAAAAAAAAAAAAAAAAAAACGCTGTATGTTTGAATGTGAGTTATTGTCCTGCGTGGGAAGGCGGATCATTTTGGATTTTAGATTTGGCATCAGCTCGCCGCGGCGTCGCTATGCTCGAGTGGAGCTGCTGTGAATGAAAATGTCGGGCCTCGAGGTGTGAAAAAAAGTCGCCTCGACACAGATGCAGGGAAGCACTGAAGCATCTATATTTTTATCAAAAAACAAAAATGTAACTAGGAAATATTATATTTATATTTACTGTGCACAAAGCGCTAATTGAACACTTCATCTTTATTACAATTTAGTCACTCCCCTAATCAAGAGACTGGATCGCGTGAATGGATCGCTTATTAGTTCTGGGAATGAGCCAACGTGCACACGTTGGTGTGTGTGTTTTCGTTCGGGCTGGAGTCTGATTTGTCCACTCCAAAAGAAATTGTGTTGAGCTGAGCTTCGGCGGCCTCAAAGCCCCCCGAGAGAGAGAGCGAGGTTCTGTCCCGCCCGGCTGTGAGGGAGCGAAAATGTTTCACTGTGGACGCCGGCTGAACTTCTACGGCTCCATCCTGCGAGCCTCACGGCACCGCGGGACCATTTTCGCTTGTGTAAGGGTAATGAAGCTGAAAAAAAAGAGGGGGGAAAAAAAGTGTGTGCATGCACCACCGGTAACACGGTGAGATCCTCACATATAAATAGCTCCGTTGTAAATGTCTTCATCTTCCTGATGGAACCACAGCAACACAGCGGCTTCCAAGGGACAAAAACACTTCAGGTGTTCACCCCCCTCACCCACCGACCTCCCATTCCAAGACTTTTCCACTCACTCAAAGGAAACGATGGGGTTCTGCGTTTGTGCGTCGCCATGGCAACTGTTGCCAGCAGACGGGCCTGCGAGCTGCGTCCTCGTTTTGAGGCCTCCCGACGTGTGCGAGGCAAGTCCCCGCTGGGTCGGTCGCGTCGCGTCGTGGGAGGCGGAGGGGGGAAAACAAAAAGAACAATGCGGAGGGACAGATCGAGTCGCCGAGGAAATGAGGGTTTGACGAGATTCGGGCTTTTGTCCTCGGAGGCATCGACAAGACGAGAGCAACACAATACAATGAACTCGTTTCACGTTAACTATGCATCCAAATGGCTGCGTGTGACGTGAAAGTGGACAGAATATATAGTTTGCGTGTGTTTGGATTGACATTGATTGTGCGTGCAAAAGCGCTAATGTTGCTATATGTGTGACTAGGCAACTTATTGAGGTGATATGTCAATGTTGTGTTAAAATAATGACCCGCTGCCCCCGAGTGGCCGGTCCAAAACAATAATGCAGCTTTGTAACGTCACTATTTATTGTGTTTTACGGAGGTTATTTTTAAAAGTAGCGGATTACAAGCTAGTCTGCAAGGAGACACTGTGGTTCCAACAAACAATAAATATTTCAATATATTTCCAGTAATGAAATCTTTCCATTTGTGTTCTCACTTTCTATTAGAAAAGAGGGGAACAAATGCAAATGAGCAGAATACGAATGTGTTTCTTAAAGTAATCGGAAAATAAATAAATAATAATAAGCCCTGCGTTCACCTAGAATTTAACATGATTGTCTTTGATCAGATCCATCTGTATGTTAATATTCATGTTTTTTCATAAAAATGAAAACAATTATCTGGATAAACAGCGACGCACTGTTGCAGTGTGAAGCCGCTGCACACCAGAGAGTGAAGCCAAAGACTATTAAAATTCCTCCCGCCTTGACATAAAAAGAGGAGAGCCAATCTGCGATCATTCCTGCCATTAGTCTTCTCATTACTTCTCTCCTCTTTCCCTTGTTCAGCATTTCTCTTTATTGTCCGTGACACGGGAGCGCTAATTAAAAGCGCGGCCAGTTCGTTGGTATTCCAAAAGGGCCGCCGTCTAATTTGAGCCGAGCACAGCGCGGGGGACGGCGGGCCGCGCGGCAGATATCGCCCCGGCGCGTCGACAAAATGTAATATTAAAGAGCGCCGCGAACGAAATCATTTAGAGGGTGTTTCGAGAGGGGATGTTGGATATCTGATGCGTAGCAATTACACGGGCCTCGCCGAGGTGAGGTGGAGAATCGCATTAAAGCGCGCGACTCTGGGAGGAATCGCAGGCCTATGGGAGAGACCGCCAACTCACGGCTGCTGCGCTCCTCTCTAATCACGCCATGGGGGGGGGGGGGGGCAAACCGCGGGTTTTGGGGCGGGTGGGGGGTTAATTAAATTCTCGGCACCGATGGTCTCATACAGTTTGTGTGTCCATATACTCCGGTCCGTCCTGCCAATCGAGTTAGAGCGTCCCAAGAAGCCGCGCGGGCGTAATCCCCCCCCACCCTGCCCCCCGCCCCCCGCCCGACGAGTGGCTTACCGCCGGGGGAACTGATTTTCGAGCGAGGCTGCGGGCGAGAGGCCGGGACCACAACAACACAGCGACGGGTCTTAATTGTTTCTAAAATCATTTCACGGACAGTTTTCTGGAGTAAAAAAAAACAAAACAAAAAACCTGTGTGTTAATTGACAGTGAAGTCACGCGGTTCAAAGAGCACCACAGGTCGACTGAACAAACAAAAGTTTAGAGCGATAAATAATGAACCCACACGCGATTCCTTTTGTCTCGGTTTTCTGTCTATAATTAGAGGCAAAGTTTTCCAGGAAAGTTCCAGAGAAATAATCACAAAATCATTGACCAATTAAAATGAAACGGCATCTTGTTGGTCGTCTGGCGACCACTCGGGGGTCTTGTGAGACTATTGTGTGTTACGATGCCGTGTATCGACGTGGTGGGTTTGGATAACCGCTTCAAAATCAATGATCATTATCGGAGTAATTCATTTGAATAAATATCCTACCAATAAAAAGGAATCAATGCTTTCTAGTCGCCGATCCCTGATTCAGTAAGAACAACAAATCCATGATGAAAATGACGGCGAGCTACAGTAATTTCCGCACTATAAGGCGCACTTAAAAGCCTTTAATTTTCTCAAAAAACGACAGCGCCTTATAACCCGGAGCGCCTTATATATATGGATCCATTGGTTAATTGGTTGATCCATACTGGTTGTACACGGCGCTCAAGGCGCTCTGCCAAACACGCCAAAGCTCGGTCTACAACGGCGAGATGCTGAGCGGCGCTCAAGCGCGTGAGATATGGAGCTGCTTTCAGGGCGCGTCGGAGAAACAAAGCGGTCGTTCTCGCCGAGCACTTTGTGAGATTAAAGAGTGAGAGACGGTGCCCTTTTCTCTACAGTAGCTGAACCATCTTAACGGGGAAACTAAGTTATTCTAAAAGGGGCCCTTGGCAGGCGGCGTGGCTGGAGAGCAGCCGAAGATTTAAGGCGTGGATGGCGAGGGGGGCGGCGGGAGCGGAGGCACCTCGCAGCATCGATCGGACCCTGAAAGCACCGTCTACTCGCCTTATAATCCGGTGCGCCTTGTAGTGCGGAAAACACGGTACTTTACGATGCGTTCAGGCTCTGTTCTGTGAAAATGAGTATCGGGCAAATTAGAACTCCCCGTTAAGAGTGCGACACTGTAAAAGCCCTCACCTGCACACTTCTTACAGACGACCACGCCCAGGTTGACGGACGCCCACTCCGGCTGGGGGGCGCGGCAGTCGGCGCAGCTCCTGTTGGCCTCGTTGAACCAGATCTTCTCCGCCACTTCGTAGTCGGAGAGCGTCTCGGCGATCGATTCCTGGACCGCTTCAATCCACTCCTCCTTCTCCCGTTCTGACTCGGCGGTGAAGCTGCAACAATTGATTTTTTGACACCCCGCAAACCCCCGACCCCCGCCATCCCAACACAAGCCTCACAGTTATTGATTTGATTGAGAGAGCAATTAAACAGCATAGTATCGCTTGGCTGGGTTGGGGGGGGGGGGGGGGGTGGCAGTATTTGGAGTAGTTTTGGGGAGTTGCTGAGTGTGTGTGTGTGTCTGAGATAGATTTGGTGAAATTGATGGGGCAATGGGCAGGTAAATCAATCCGTCTCACCTTGCACCTTCCACCAGAAAAATCTATGAACTGCTAATGCAGGTTTTTCTGTCAGGATATTATTTCTCTATTAGACTTGGCAAAGTGGAGAAACGGTGAGTCAGAGTCCAGCTCAACAGCTTCAATGTACATTCAGTATAAAGGAGACAAACTCTGAGATGAATTTTACATTTTACAGACTAGCATTTTAAATCATCTGAAAAATGGACCTTCATCGTTTTATATGTTCCCTGCAGCGAAGTTATCGAAGGGCCTTCCCAGATGAGTGGAGGCGCGTCACTTCGGCTACGTCATCAAAAGTAAGAAGAAGCTTGGTTTCTTCTTTCTTTCTTGCACAGAAATAACAGAAAACTGTATTGTTCATAGTTGCGCTTAAGGGATTTTTGCAGGTGGATTCCGTTACCTTTGGACTGAGCAGCATTCAAGGCCAACAGCGAGCTAACTTTCCTATTGAACCTAAAGACATGCTCTCATCGAACAATGTGTAAGAAAGGAAACGAGGAGATTTCCCTGGAGGTTTCGGAGAGAAAGCATATCTTATGTGACCTTCATGTTGTGGTGTTGGAAGCAGTGCATATTACACACAGCTTCAGGGTTCCACCTTCACTCACGGATTGAATTTGTTTATGAATGATGAATCTTCATGAATCCACAGCGAGCATTCACATTTGTGATTTGCACAGAGGCCCTTTATCCCTTCTGCTGCTTAGGGCAGTTATGCTCTGCCTTACATTGTAAGTGAGGAGATGCAATTCATTTCCATATCGCATTGATGCTGAATAAGCAGATGCAGAATGAGAGACTCAAACATGAAGTGGCAAATTTGATAAACTACATTTCCAATTCAGAGTGAAGATTTATAGGTTCACAACACTCAAGCATGTTCAAATAATAATAAGAGTTATTGGTCGCTGGCCCCTGGATCCAACCTTTTAAATAGTCTGCTGAGGGCTTTGGAGATCATCTCCTCCTGAGCGTGAGATACGAGTCAATTGACTAATCCTGTCAATACGAGCTGAAACCAATCCAATGTTAAGGATCCAGGACGGCTATTCCTCCGAGTACATACGGGCCTTTGAGGATGGATTAAAATAGAATTAGAAATGTCCTCGTGGGGTAAATTCATCCAATTCTGAAAAAAAACTAAAGATGAACACAAAACAAAAACAAAGCAAGGGTGGATTTTCCACGAAAACGCCCTCGAGTTCGGCGATTGTACGCAGCTTCACTTCGGCAGAGTGACGGTGGTTTTCGTTGTCTTTCGTTGCGCTCCGTCCATTTGACGGTGGCGAAAAAACAAACAAACAATCGCAAAGCCAAAGTGAGTCTCCACAGCTTAAAGTGATTAGACGAGTTTCTCGCTAATCCCCACCTTGAGCAGGTAGGAGAACGCTCCCAGGGCCACCAATCGATTTCATCCACACACACACACACACACACAATAAAAGCCTTCCAGCAATCGCCTCATCAAAACAATTCAGGAGACCCGAGCTCATTTTAATTCCGCCTGCTTTTTTTTCGGGCTCCACACAAAATGGCAATTACGTCCAACGTATTAACGAAGCTGCCAAACGATGGGACCATTAAGGGAGCCCGAGACAAACACAATCGATCGGACATGCAACGGACAGGTAGTGGAATGAGGAAAAATAAAAAATAAAATAACGCAAAAGGGGGTAACGGGAAAATAGCGACCCGTCGTACACAAACAAACAAGCCGTGCTTTGTCCAGGCAGCTGTGACGGTTGTGTTCTAAAGGGGCCATTACGGCACCAACAAGCAGCGCGCTCATCGATCGCACAACTCTCTGGGACTGGATTCACCTAAAAAGGGTTTCGCTCCCCCTGGGGAGGCGCAGCAACTTGCTTGCAGCCCCATGGGAGGGAGACAGGGAGGCGGGGGGGGGGGGCGCGATCAACAATTACCGGACCCCTGACCTCGGGCCGGCGTGTGACCGGAAGCGCGTCGCCAGGCGAGCAGAAGAGTGGCGCTGAAGTGCAGTCGATGCGGGATAACGAGGAGAGCCTCTCGGTCTCGTTAGAGCCGACCGTTCCTTACTCTGACCATTTACTGAACACAAAATATTGGTTTTTAGTGGGAGTGAATCTTGCTGAAGATTCGAAAAGGAAGTTGCCTTTTTTTTTGTTTGTCACTTGTTCGATAGTGCACTTTATTTTTTAATATTTTTTTAACTCTTTAAATATTTTTATTGCATTAGCATTTAATTTTATTTTATTACTTGTGCACTGCAGTCTTGTTGTCTATTGTTACACTGTCTACAGTCACGCACCAACCGCCAAGACAAATTCCTTGTATGTTTGACATATTTTGGCAATAAATGTTTCCTGATTCCTGATCCTGGTTTTACGGCGGATCTGTGTGAAAAGACACTGAATTTAAAGCGAAAAAACAAATTCGCCAACTCATCCACAGATGAAACGATTGATACGTTGAACGAGTCCCAGTGGGCCACAGATAGTGAGATGTCCGGACCGCCTTCGCACCGACTCAAACTGAAAAAAAAAGAATCCGCCGCAGAATTGATGGCGCCATAAAACCACAATTAAATTGATCTGTTGATCTGGTTTCGACGACAAACATTTGCCCGACCGTTCAGAAGCCGGAGAAGTGTTAAACAGGGCTGTTGTTCTTGCGGCGCGCTTCGTGCGCTCCGGCGGTTTCTACCTAAAAGGTCACTGAAATGTCACGAGCGCACGGTGCCATCTGTCATCATAACACCAGGTATGAATTTCATTTTCAGTCTGTGTAACTTCGTTCTTCCGCCTCTTGGCTCATAAACGCGACGCGGGACTCTCTGACCTTCAAATCTCGTCATTACTTTGTTACAATTCCGTTCAAATTAATAAGAACTTTTGTTTTTCTTCTAAGGATTTCCTCTTTTGTTGCACCTCAACAATTTTTTATTCCCAACAGCAGTGTAGCGGATTTCAACTATGAAATATGTTATAGTTTCATATTTGCACATTTCACCGAACAGCGGGAAGAAAGTACGGCAGATACGCTTTAAAGTCACGGTGTTTTAAAGCCTTGAAAACAATCTGGTTTGAATTAATCCTCCGACTCTCCAGGTAAGAAGACAAAGCCCCGGTTCCTTAAAAAAAAAAAAAAAAAGCCAACCGTATGTGAATATTCCGCAGTACCCTGAATTCTTATCACATTATGAGACTTTTAATACCTTACATGTATAAGAGCGGATTAACTGAAATGTTTGCCCTCGTCTTTGAGTTGTGAATATTGATGCTGGATGAGATATGATGACTGAGATTAAAACACAGTACAGCACGAGGCTTAGTGGGCGCGAAGGGCGCTTCCTTGACTAAGAGCGGTGCCAATGAGATGATAATGCAGGGAGATGTGTTTAAAAAGAAAGGAAGATAAATCGGCCCGCCGCTTCCTACTGACCACTGTGGAGGTGTACTACGACGTGAGGGGGAGGGGAGATTCCTTTCCCACCTTGTTCATCATTTACATGATGAAAACGGCGTAGGGATCAAGCAGAAAGGTCACACTTTTCTCCCGCTCTCACCCAATGAAAGGAGCCATCATGTATCACACACATTTTGGCTTTGATTACTCTCTTTTGTTGAGGAGGGAAGGAGGGGGGAGGGGGGTGAGGGGGGCGGGGAGGCAAAACCCATACGTACCAGAAGTTCTTGAAGGGCGTGTTGATTTCAAAGCCCCTGCGGTCCCCGTCTCGGATGTTGGCGGCCGCCAGTTCCAACTCGGCGATACCCAGGCCCGCTTTATAGTCCTGCAAAGCGCACACACACATGCACACACACACACACACACAGGATTAATATTAATCAATATGTTACCGTTACCAGAGTCCTGTTACCAAAAGTACTTAAACACTACCTTGCAATACACGCTTGCTTGCTTAGACGAGACGATCAATACTCATGCTGCCATGTTTGTACCGACAACCATTTAGCTTAGCCTAGCCTAGCCTTTTTTATGAGGGGGGGGTTATATGTTGGTGTTTTCATAATATACTGAGTGTGTGGAGCATTAGAGGCTGTTGGTGATGGACAGATGGATAGTCAGGGTAGTCGTTTCCCCTCAGTTATCACACTTTATGCTAGGCTAACTGGCTGCTAGCTACTAGCCTATCTATGTTTTCACCGCTTTGGTAAGCCAATTAGCTCTTTTCCCCAGAAGGTCCGACTATTCCTTTGAAAAGGTGCCATGAAAGGGCCCAGGAGGCAAATAATGCTTTCCTTCTATCTTAACTGGGCGCTTTTCTTTGATTCAAATGCTAATCTATGATCATTTTGCAAAAGGATTTGCACAGTGAAATGCAGTCGTGGCCCATTTTAAACAGGAGGAAAACGTCGGATGACAGCAATGCGTTCCTCCTGTGCACTTTTCATCAGGAAGGACGCACATAGGAGCAACAAAACAATTTTGGGGGCAGAGAATAGGCCTACAGCGAAAACCAGGGAAACATTCTCATTCAATTCTGAGTGTCTCGGAGCACCAAACATCTCTGATGTAAACGGAGTCCGCTTGCTGTTGGAGGTCCGCCAGTCCACTAGTTTAATCTCGGATGCCACGATGGCGCCGAATCTCAGTGGAGAGGCTTGGTCAACCCTGAAGTCCTTATTTCATTTTTGTCATTATCCCTGGGACCTGACGGGAGCCCCCAGTAGGCCGGGTAGGAGCGGAGTAGCCTCAGGTCTTAGCCGAGTTAGCCTAGCTCCCACCTCGGCGCGGAAAGACGCCGCGGGCGGGGATCGTCTTTTCCACTTTTCCTCCACAATCACTGCGCTTTGCTTTCCAATGATGGAGACCCCCCCCCCCCCGACTCATAAAAGCTGGGATCAACAGATGCCCTCATTAGACTCTTAACTTTCGATTAGGTCTAATTAAAAGCTCCGCAGTGACATCCGCCGTCCATGCTGCTCGTTTTCCTCCTCCTCGCCCATGACGCAAGAGCCGTACGTACCAGAGAGACAGAAAGAAGCAATGTGTGTGTGTGTGTGTGTGTGTGTGTGTGTGTGTGTGTGTGACTCTGC